TCAATACTGCAGCCCCTGCACAGCAGCTACTCTAGCTTAGGCGTTGCAGTAGAAGCTGCTTCCACCACCCCTGTGAGGAGGTTCCTGGCTGCTGGATCTATAAGCGATGATCTCATGGCCCTGCCCCAAGCCTGTGCTCGCTCCAGTGCTCCCATATGTTTCAGCCTATTCAGAGCCACCATAGAGACCATGACCTTGGTTCCCACAAGACACAGAAATTCCATGTTACTCCTGTTCAGCCCTGTCCTAGGGGGACTGTGTGGCCCTATGCCTTGAGGAGCCTTTGTGCAGGCCATCCACCAAGGGGTGAGCACCACTGACAGTGCAGATCGCCCCGTAGAACTCCATATTCCCTTCAGGCTGATGGGTTGGCTGGCAAAGCTCTTTTCTCATGTCGAACCCTATTTATAGCATGCTGCATGCAATACGTAGCAAGTGACTCACATGGGGTGAAATTCACCCCTGTACAAAGAGCCTCTATGCGCCTCAATTAAGTCCTGTTGTGAGAGACTCTGGAACCAGCTACAGCTATGGAGTTATTAAATCAGACGATTATTTCTAAAGTATATTTGGAAAATGCCATGTTTTAATCTAGACACTTTTTGGGAGTGAGAACTCCAGTCCTTTAGCTCCCTCATCGATTAAGCTGCAGCACTTCATTTTTGCTGTAAGGATGGAGTTTGAGGCTTAATTTTGAGTGTCGTGACTTTCGTCAGCCACTGACATCCCCAAAGGAATTTCCCCCAAGGTGGTGGCATGATCTGGAAGACCATGTCTGGTGTGCATCAGCCCTGCATGGTAGGTTGGCAGCATGTTGTGGCTGGGTTGGGGGAGAGGGGCTGATGGCTGGAGTAACTATTGCTCACGCTGGAGCAGGATCACAGCGAATGTATGGGCTACTGAAGCCTCTTGGGTGCAGGAGCAGGCATAGAGCATCCACAAAGCTTTGTGGGAAGATTTCTTCCATCCCAGTTTCCCACCGGGGTCACAGTGCTTTACCACCCAAACATTACAATGCCAGATACCCTCTCAGGCTCCTCACCTGCATAACAAACTCCTTTTCACTTCCAGCATACCTCCGCCCACAGTACAAACAACTCCTTTCAAGCTAAAGCTGAAATCCAGCTAAAGAGTTCGAGTCTGCCCCCTTGCTGAAATAGTACATATTTGGAGAGAACCTGAGTAAAATTGAGGGTTTAAGTGAAGTTTAAACTTTGCCATAAGTGTAAAACTTCAACACAGCCTTATCCTGTGGAGCTGCTAGGGCATCTTCCCAATACTTACGCAAGGGACAAGTGTAGCACTTTCAGCTGTCACACAAAAACAACAGAAGTGGCTTTGGCCATCCCTCTTAAGCCTGGTCTACACTAACGAGGTAAGTTGATCTAAGTTACACTAGTTAAGTTACATAAGTTATGTAACTTAAGTTGATGTAGCGTAGATCAACTTACAGCGGTGTCTGCACTGTGCTATGTCCACAGGAGAGCATCTCCCATTGACATAGCTTCCACCTCTCAGGGAGGTGGAGTACTGAAGTCAACGGGAGAGCACTCTGCCATTGACTTATCATGTCTTCACCAGACCCACTAAATCGACACTGCTGCATCAGTCGCAGCACCACCTATTTAGCCAGTAGTGAAGACAAGCCCTTACTGAGCTAACTGATCTGTAAGACGGGGAGAAACTGGGCTTGATGTGGCTTCCTTTAAAGGCAGTAGCAAAACTCCCAATGGGACTTCAGTGTGTGGTGGATCAGGCCCTTGTTCTCTTCATTAGATGTCCTGTACTAAAACTGCACTAAAGTTTAATAGAAAGAAATTCGTGCTGTCATCACTGCCCCCACCGCTGGCTCTCAGACACTTTGTCAAATGCAAGGAGCAGGTGCAGCCCCCATGGAAATTGCTGTGTCAAATTCAGCAGTGAAATAAAGGCTGGTGCCAATTACATGCTGGGTGTCAATTGGTCATAAACAGTTGGGTAAGTGGCAGAGCAGTGACATTTGCACCCATTTGTCACTCAGCACATGTAGAAAGCTGAGGGTGAGAGAGTTCTGCAGGAAAATCAGCCAACAGCAAAGTAAGATAAAGCTGGTGTACTTCCCTCTCCCCCCACCCCTGCTCTCCCCTCCTACGCAAACCACCCCCACACGTCTGATGCAGGGATTACTAGGTGAAGGTCTATGGGCTGTGTTATGTAGGAGGTCAGACTAGATGATCGTGATGGTCCCTTCTGGCTTTTAAAATGTCTGAAGTTATAAAGTATATACCTGGCCTGTGTCCCATTGGCCTCCAAGAGAGCTGCACCTGCTTCTCTCAGGACTCAGTTTGGTCCCCATCATGATTTTCTTTACTCCAGGGTTATGCCAACTTTAGCTGCCCTAACCAGTGCCGTGGGCCTGTGAGGGACAGTCTGCACAGATGGAGGTTGCAATAGCCCAAGGTATCTGTGCTCCCCTTTGTGTATAGTCAGCAATCAGCAGTGATTAGTACCAGTGACGGTTCCAAGAGCCCAAGGACTCCCGTTATGCTCCGTCCCATGCCAGAGGCACAGGGAATGAAGAAGACTCTTGCACCCTTGCATGCCCATGTAGAGGTTTGAGCAGCATTTGGTCCCAGATTAAGGACAATCCGAACATTTTTACAATATTACATAAACCTGCTTCTTTTGAGAGCTTTCTCATTTAAAAACACAGTATAGTGACGGGGCAAATCCTGAGTTTTTTAATCAGTTTTCACTTGGCCATTACATAGGAAAACTTCCTACTGAACAACTGAGTAAGGCCATAAAGATTTGACCAGAAACATCATTTTCAGCACAAAAGGAACATTATATTATTCCCATCATGCTCTGGCTCTCCTAGACCATCTCATGTATTATTCGCTTAACTCGCTTCTGTTAAAGGGACCCTGTAGGATGAGGACATCTTTAAACAATTTTGTTCTAAAAATCTGCATTTTCTTACTATGATTACGTGGAGTGTAACCGTGACTGTGAGCCCAGGTAATGTAATTTTGCCCCAGGCTTTCTCTTTACGCTATATGGGGCTCTAACATGCTGGGATGGCCTAATCTCCCCTCTAAATAAAAGTTTAGCTATTTAATGAATGGAAGATTTCTAAGGATCAGTGCTGCTGTGATCTCTGCAAACCAGAGCTAGGCAGGTGTAAGCTCTGAGTGTCCTCCTTTGCTTTCTTTCCTTTGCCTCTTCACTCCCCATTCCTGCCATCACCATGTTCATTTGCTTGTGTGTTATCCCCCCATTCTCTGTTCTTGTGTCTGTTACATTTGTAACCTCTCTGGGATAGGCACTGTGTCTTCTTCTGTGTTTAGACATTGTCCTACAGTGTGAGACTCCAATCCTCATTGGCGCCACTGGGCATTTTTATTATACATCATGATGATAATGAATCGGGTGCTCATCACTTTCCCTATTCAGTTGTCAATTAATATCTAAACATCCTTTTCTGATCCTACAATCATTTTTATAACTTGCATCAAGGAACTATTAGAGGAACCCCAGCGCAATCTGTTACCATAATGTTAGTGCCATAATCTAGGGGACAGATGTTTGATTGCATTCATCAAACAGATGAATATTTAATTAAACAGGCAAATGTCTTTCTCAAGGTGTAATTCTGTATATGAACTTATGAGCTCTGAAAGGTGAGCAGGTTTTGTCGCCAAAAGGAAGTAGTGGTGAATGCTGGGAAAGCATTCGTCATTCAGAGAAGGAAGTGTCTTGCGTTGTTTAACAGTATCCTCCAGGTGATGAAGCTGTGTTGCTGTGCTCCAGATGCAGTTCCCTTGAGTCCCCTTTGACTTGATGGTTAAAACCTCCAGAACAAAGGGCCTTCATGAAGGGGCAGATGGCAAGCTAGAAAGTGGAATTAAATTAAGTGATCTTGGGCCTACACCCAGGACGAAAAACTCTCAGAGTGGGAGAGGAAATAACCAAAGTGGTGATGCCTTGGGCCAAATTTATAAAATAGCTGCTACAAATTTTGCATGTTCACCTGTGGTATCTGGAAAATACGTATTTGTGCATGTGCAAATAGGGATTTAGGTGCACAATTACCCGTTTTGCATGCAAAAATACAGTGTGCATGTGCAAACACAGGTTTGCATGCACACTCAGTGTGTCCACATTTTGCAGGCACAATTCAGGGAGCCAATTTAGAAAATATGGCTCTTTTTGTCATAAGATTAAAGTTCTCTAATCTATCTCTCTTAATAGGAGGAATAGCAGAGGAACATAATATATCACAAATAGAGTATATACATAAAATATGTTGAAAACACTACAATTTTGGTGTGGCACCAGGATTTCTCTTTGTGGAATGACCCAGATGAGGTTGTTGTATCTAAGTCAGTGTACGCACATACAAAACTTGGTGCGGTAAAATATCTTATTTTGTAATGTTCTAGGCACTTCACAGGCATGCAGTAAGATGGGTTCCCCTGCCCTGGAAAGGTTATGGCATAAATAGACAAAATAACTGACAAAAGAGTGAGCAAGGATGCCGAACTGGGGGCAAAGTAAATAATGGGGAATGGGAATGGAGGGGGAGGTTGGGGAAAGGATGTGCAAAAAGATTAAAGAGTTGTCTGCGTGGTACAGTGTGTGTATCGTGTTATATTTGGAACCATCCATTCGTTAGTTTATTGATCTAATGTATTTTGATGATTTGTAGTAATGTGCTGTATGTATGATAAATTGTTCTGAAGTATATTGCAATAGGGAACAATACAAGTCCAAAGCCAGAACTATATTCAACAGCAACTAGATAAGGAAACAAGGTTCTTTATCAGAAAGTCTCCAGTGTAAAAGAGCAAATGTATGTATAGATTTGTGCATTGTCACTCTCACTAGGAATCTGTGGTGAGAATCCAGGCTAAGGTTTATGTGATGCTATGTTTGTTTTTTCAGCATCTAATAATTGCTAATAATCTATTCAGATCAGATATCTATTATCAACACTTTGCTTCTATCACCTCACTTAGGCAATCTATAAGATGGTTTCTTCGGTAATGAAGATGCCAGAAGATGAGTCAACACCAGAGAAAAGAACAGAGAAAATCTTCCGTCAGATGGACACCAATCGAGATGGTAGGAATCTTAGGCATTTCCCTTTAACCCTCTGTACTCTGCAGTTACTGACAGCTGGATTTCCATCAAAGAGCTAGACTGATTTAGGAAGTAGAGAGAGATCACTCTGATGTCAAGACAGTCAGTGGGCTCAATCTCTCCCCTAAGGATTTTTAAAGCAGTGACTCCTATGGCCGTGGGGAAGTCACTTAGGACCTGATTATGCTCTAGCTCTGCTAAATTCAGTGCAAAGAGGCTCTGGATTCTACTAGTGCAACTGAAAGCAGAACTTGGCCCTTTAACCTGTCTGCTGCAGTTTCTCCATTTACCTAACTCACAAAAGGTTAGGGGAGGGTTTATTAGTTAATGTTGATAAAATGCCTTGAAGATGAAAACATGAAGGGCTAGATCACAAAGGGACTTTGATGTTGTAACCCCTAACTCCTAGGCTGCATAGTGGAAACCTCAGCCCCAGGTTAGGTGCCCAGGGTTCCCATATAGCACATGGAGCGAGAGAGGGATCTTCTGAAGCCAGCAAGCTGAGCAGTGCGCTGCCTAAACTACCCAGAAGTGAAATGCAGAAGAAAGGGGTGGGGCTTAGGGTCCAGATCGGGCCCTCTAGGCACCAGACTGATGAGCTGGGCTGGAGGAAGATGCCTATCTCTGCTTGGGATTCTCAGCCGTAAAAACCTCTCCTGGAGTTAGATGCCTAAACCAGGTCAGCCCTTTCCTGCAAAAACACACACAGAGAAAAACCCACCCAGTTATAGCCCTTAGCCAGGGCGCACACCTGGGATTGGGAGACTCAGATTCTCCCAGGGACGTGAACTCAGGTCTCCATGCTCTACACCACCAGGCTGTGGGGTTTTCTGGGGCAGGTCTTGCTCTCTCTCTCCTGTTGAAGCTGTTCCACTTGATATAAATAATTAAATAGTCAGTGGAGCAGGCACTTGAAGAGGACACTCCGACATCCCAGGTGAGCCCCTAACCACTGGATATAGAGTCAGTCTCTTGCTGTCTATTTCTCTGGCCCAATCAATGTTTAATTATTTGTAGCTTAATCAGGAGAGTTAGAGTGAGCCCCCTGAGTACCAAGAGCCTGCTCTAAACATTCACTCCTGGAATGTGGGTGCTGTGAGTTCAAGTCAGGCAGCGGGTTTCCCACATCCCAGGTGAGTGTGTGTATGGTAACACCCATTGTTTCATGTTCTCTATGTATATAAATCTCCCCACTGTATTTTCCACTGAATGTGTCCGATGAAGTGAGCTGTAGCTCACGAAAGATTATGCTCAAATAAATTTGTTGTCTCTAAGGTGCAACAAGTACTCCTTTTCTTTTTGCGAATACAGACTAACACAGCTGCTGCTCTGAAACCTATCTCCCTTTAGTCTCCTTTAAAATTCCCTGTCTAACAGCATAGCTGGCTCTTGAAGAGTGTGTTGAATTAGGAGCTTTGATCAAGTGTGTTAGGAATCTCATTGTTTTGGGAAAAACAGAAGTATAGTAGAACCTCAGAGTTGTGATCACCTCGGGAATGGAGGTTGTTCATAACTCTGAACAAAACTTTTATTTTCCAAAAGTTTACAACTGAACATTGATTTAATACAGCTTTGAAACTTTACTATGCAGAAGGAAAATGGTGCTTTTAACTATTTGAATTTAAATGAAAAAGTCACAGAAACTGTTTCCTTACCTTGACAAATCTTTTTTTAAACTTTCCCTTTATTTTTTTAGTAGTTTACATTTAGCATAATACTATACTGTATTTGGTGAGGGGTTTGGGGGTTTTTTGGCTCTGCTGCTGCCTGATTGTGTACTTCCAGTTCCAAATGAGGTCTGTGGTTGACCAGTTAGCTCGTAACTCTGAGGTTCTACTGTACTGCCTGTTGAGCAGATGAATTTGGTTTTCATTACTTATTATGATTTATTAGTATTGTGGTCACACTTAAACACAGCAGTCGGGATCGGAGACCCGTTGTTCTAGGCACTGTGCAAACACATAGCTGTAGACAGTGCCTGCCCCAAAGAGCTTACATGCTACAGGCCCAGTCCAGCAAAGACTTAGATATGTGCTTATCTGTGTCCACCGTGAGTAATCCCATGGTAATAATTCTATTAAGCACATGCCTAAACCTTTGCAGGATTGTGGCTTTTCTAGAAAAGACGGGGAAAACCCAACAACAACGTAGAACCAGAATGTCAAGGGTATATGGCAAGTCATTCAGCAAGTGCTGTCCTGGGTCCCTCCTCTCTAGTGATAGGATACAAGTAATACTCTGTGGCTCCAATGGGAGTTACTCACACACTGCCGTGGGAGAGTAGAAGCCCATCTGGTTTGCAGAGCAGCATCAGCAATGTACTTTGGAGAAGATGCAAATTAGAGTTGAGCAGAATTCAGAATGTCTATCCCACAGGGAATTCCAACATTTCAACATTTGTTTTCATCCCAACTCAGGACAAGAAATCGAAATTTTGAAAGAAAAAAAATTGTGGGGGGGAACAAAGATACTGAAGTGTTTTGATTTGGAAATGTAGAAATGTTTCTTTTTGACATTTTCAGTCCAAATTAAACTTTTTACACTCTCCAATTGAAATGCTTTGTTTGAAGTCAGTTCAACAGTAAATTGCATTTCCCATTGTGGCATATTACCTCGTGGGAGTTCAGGTGAGGTACAAATCCACATTGTATTACGGGAGAGGTATTTTCCCGGGAGCTCCTAATGGGGGCCCAAACTACAAATCCCATAAGGCAATGTGCTGAGAGGGAAATGCAGTTCAATGTTTTATTGAACAAAACAAAACATTTTGGGTCAGTTCAACAAAACAGAATATCTGATTCTGGTCAACTCAACCCAATCTGAAATATTTGATTCCAATTTTTCCCAATGGAAAGTCAAATTTTCAGCTAAATCAAGATTTTTCCCATAGAAAATTTTGATGTTTGCAGAAACAGATTTTTTTTTTTTTTTTGGCCAGAATGTCATAGAATCTAGAAATGTGGATCTGGGACATCAAGAAGTCATCAAGCCCAGTCCCCTGTGTTGGATAAAGTAAACCCAGGCCATCCTTGACAGGTGTTTCTCCAACCTGTTCTTAAAAACCTCTAGTGATGTGTATTCCTCAACCTCTCTTGGAAGCCTATTCCAGAGCTTAACTATCTTTATAGTTAAAAAGTTTTCCCTAATATCTAACCTAAATCTCCCTTGCTGTAGATCAAGCCCATTACTATGTGTCCTACCTTGAGGGGACACATGAAGAACAATTGATCACCGTCCTCTTTATAATAACCTTTAATGTATTTGAAGACTAATCAGGTCCCCACTCAGGTGTCCTTTTCTCAAGATTAACCATGCCCACTTTTCTTAACCTTTCCTCATAAGTCAAGTTTTCTAAACCTTTTACCCTTTTTGTTGCTCTCCTCTGGACTCTCTCCAATTTGTCCACAGTTTTCACAAAGAGTGGCACCCAGAATTAGACACAGTACTCCAGCTGAGGCCTCAGCAGTGCTGAGAAGAGCAGGACAATTATTTGTCTTACATATGACACTCCTGTTAATACACCTCCAGAATATCAGCCTTATTAGCAATTGTGTCACATTATCTCATATTCAATTTGTGAACCACTATAACCCCCCGATCCTTTTCAGCAGTACTATCACCTAGCCAGTTATTCCCCATTTTGTAGCTGTGCATTTGATTTTTTCCTTCCGACATGAAGCCCTTTGCATTTATCTTTACTGAATTTCATCTTGTTGAATTCAGACGAATTCTCCATTCCAGTGGAAGTTTTTTTATCTGCTCTATTGCACACAAGCTTCTGAGATAGAGGTTGCCCTGTAGTGATAAAACCTGCCGTTACAAATTTCCTGCTCAGCACCTAGATACTACTGTAATGGGCACTCTAAAGAAACCCCAGGTGAATAGATGGATATGGGTTCTTAATTCAAACATACATTTGGAAAAGGCACTTGTGTGTACTCGGAGCAAGTCCATAGCTTTTAGAGCCTGCCTGTCTCCTCCTGTGATTCTGGGTCTGTTGCAAGGAACCAAAGCACTTGTGCCACCTGCCTTCACATTTGAATGGAGGGAGCATTCTCAGAGCATGTCTACACTTATCATGGATCAGCGCTGTGGCAGTCAAACCACTGGGGGTTGATATAGAGGGTCTAGTGAAGACCCACTAAATCGACCACAGATTGCTCTCCCGTTGACTCTGGTACACCACCTGAACTAGAAGCCTAAGGTAAGTCAATGGGAGAGTTTCTCCCGTCAACCCAGTGTGGTGTAGACACCACAATAAGTCGACCTAAGCTACATTATTCACGTATCTGGAGTTGTGTAACTTAGGTCGACTTAACCCCAAAGTGTAGACCTGCCCTCAGAGAGGGTTCTTCAAATCTGAAAGTCTCTCCACACAGTATTGATCCACCAGAGCCTAGATTTTGCTACTTTCAGGCAGGCTGCAAGGCCTAACCATTTCCCCATGCTTTCCTTGTAGTGACAATTCGTAAATTTCCGGATGTATCCATAGTGTTAAAGCATTGCATATGTGCTGTGATTGATTAGTGCATTTTATAATGCTAAACAAACTTTTTTTTTTTTATTAGGCAAACTCTCTTTGGAAGAGTTCATCCGAGGAGCCAAGAGTGATCCATCCATAGTCCGTCTCCTTCAGTGTGATCCTAGCAGTGCAGGGCAATTCTAAAACAGTTCTTTGGATGAATTGTGTATCTGCTTTTTGTTTTTTGTTTTTTTTGCCAAACAACATTCATGGTGGTGTTGCCTCTGTATGACCAGTTATGCCTTCTTTTGTGGCATCTTTTAGCTTCTTTTGTTGTGGATTAATTATAAGAATGCTGAATGCTCTTAATAGTTTGTCCAGAACACAGACAGAATACTGTTTTAAATGGACATTGTGGTGTTAACTTGTTTAGAAGATTTTATTTTGTTCAATTTGTCTGTTCTCAAAAGTAAACCACAAGAAGGAAGAAACCTTCAGCAACATATTATTGCCACATTTAGAATGCTACTTTAATAGTTGAAAATTCACCCGCAGGATCTGAAGCACAATAGTGGTTGAAGTGCAAAGTGTTACAACAGGTGCAGTATTTGATTTGTACAGTCTTTTTTTATCCAGCAGGCACAAGAGAAACTACAAAACAGGATGAGTAAGAAGTGTTAATACAATAAGTTAGCAAATTCTAGCCTACTTCAGTCTCCCTACAATGCCACGTTGTTTCAATACTGTGAAAGTTTTTAAGGTGCATTGAGAAGGGGGGGAGGGAATGATCAGCTGTTTTTTTTTAACAGGCTTATGCTGGTTGATTTAACATGTGTTTGATTTCCAGATAAAACCAATTTATAATTCTAATTAAAACAAAAAACCAGGTGGATGTTACCTGTTGCCATTTAGAATTAGTAAGTGTAGTTGTGTATATGACAAACTGGGTATTGAACACAAATTTAAGCGAGATGTGTGTTGAATGAGAGATTTTCAGATTAGTAATAAAGCAGTTTCTACTGCAGGAGACTGGGAGTTGAGCTCAGAAATAACAATTGTGCAACCTTAAGCAGCTGACACTGAGACATGTCCACTGTCATGAATGTTCTTGTCTAGATTGGACTGCTTGCTCTCTCTCTCTCTCTCTCTCTCTCCACATAGATAATGCGGTTCCTGTGTCTGCTTCTAAAGGTTGGAGAGCTATCACAAACTGTTTTAAAGCTAGAATTGTAGAATTCATACTTCATTTACTTTAGTGGGGTTGAAAGATCTGTACTGAAACAAGGAAATGGTACGCTTAATGATATATATATATAAATGTTTAAAAAAATTAGATGTAAGAGAAAACTGTTGAATGTTTATCTTTTCACTTGGATGCAAAAGGATTTCTGAACCTTGCTGCTGCAAAATTCTTTCATTTGGTCAGGGTCACTATATTCCAAGCAGTGTGTACGTTTGGGATCTCTTAAGGAATTTGCAAGCACTGCTTTGGCAAAAAAGCTTAGCAATGGGAGGTATTATGCTGACCAAGTTTGAGATAACCTGTCATTTGTTGAGTCTGCTTTGTGATACGGTAGGTGATATATCACTGCAGTCACTGCCCAATATCAGGAACTTATGAGACTGCTATAGTATAATCATTGTGTGAGGGGTGAGGTTGATATTCTATTAAGTGACCTTGTAATGCTAAACCCCAACTAGCCTTAATTTAAAATAAACTGAGTAAAATAGGTTAGATCTGCTGCTGCAGACTAGTTAAATGCTGATTAGCCATCAGGTAAAAGCAGTAGAATATATTAAGAAGTTTTTGCTTATCACTAGCTAGGAGAACATATGTACAGTAATTTAGGAAGGAAAAAGATTCTTGACTTAATTCTCAATACCATTTTGTTCTGTCATGCTTAACATATGGTGCACAATGAAAATTAATTATAGATAACATAGTTAATCAGTTCTTTCAAATTTACTATAAGTGGCAAAGCAATCCTGAATAAAAGGTCATCAGGCCCATTTCTTTGTCTCAGATGACCTAAAGGGCTTATCCAGAATCAATTTCAATTTAAAGTGGTTACAGAAATGCCATTGATGTAATTCTCCTGCTAAATGAGCTAAAAGACTAGACCGAGTCGTGTGTGAGAGACAGACAGAGGAACACACAAGTGCAGGTTCAATACATAACTTTTTTAGTTTTTGGCATAGTCACTGGAAATACTACAGTGAAATTTTCTGGTTGGCTGAAATGGTTTTTGCCTATTTCCCATCCCTGTCTTATCCACACCCCATTGGAGATACTATGCACAAAATAGAACATTTAAAGCACTTGTGCTCTTCGAGATAATTTTTTGTTTGCCAGTAATAGACCTCAGAAAGGCTTTGGCCCTAAAAGAAATCTGCAGAGATCTCCTCATGCTGAGTCAAGGGTCAGTTCTCTCCTTATTGTCTGGAGGGTCATTTTTCATTTGGACAAATCTGGCTTGATCCTTGGTTGTTGTAAATTGCTGCATTAAGGTGAATGGATCTACACTGACATATACCCACTAAGGATCTGCTCCTTAATCAAACATAAGCAATCAGTGTCACTGTATTAAAGCCCTTCTTTGGGTCACTTCATCACATCCACTACATAGGAAAATAAATTGGAATATAAATTTTCTTAGAAATCTGAATACATATTGAAAAATTCCAATCCCAGATATCATTGCAGGCTTGTGGATCAAAAGCAGACAAGCTAGAAAAATTAACGTTTATTAAAGTTGAAGTAAAGTATGCAAAGTGGATAGCTCCTACAATTAATTTGTTTCTAATACAGTGAAAGCAGTTGCATGTGACTGAAACTATTAAAATTTTGCCTTTTTTAAGCAGCTGCGTTCCATCTCTTTTTTTGTATTATGACAATCCTTTGGCCCAGAACCTAGTTCCTCAGTTTGGTGTTTGGCTGTTTTTTGACAGAAGCAATTTGTGTATTAGTACTTTAAACTATGTGCTTGAAAATGCAACCTGTGATATGACCCCAGGCCAGTGGAATTGTAATTCTTTCCACTGAAAGACTAGGAATGTAACCCACAGCTGCAGAGGACATAAATAACTGGAGATATGGTTATTGTATAAACATTTACAAAATGCATGAAGATTATTCCTTATTCCTGCCTGCCTTTCGCAATTTATTTTGTTTCAAAATATTAACTGTTCCTTTCTTACTCTGCAAGTAAAAATTGTAGATATTTTTTAAATGATCGATAATTGAATTTGTTAAATGAATATCTGCAGTTTATTGGTTAACAAAACATACATAGTACTGGTATGCATCATTTCTTTGTCTTGCTAATTGTCATTATTAACTTCAGTGATCTCTCAAAAAAAGAATGACCAAAACTATATGTCACAGTAGCATAGCTGTTTTTAAGGGAATGAATTAAAATATCTGACTCTCAGACTGTAGACAGTACAGGCTGCTTGATACCACTTACTATAACTGTGTAGATACATTTTCAATAATACTTGTGTATGTTTGATAGGTAAACTTGACTGATCTGGCATGCAAAAATGTTTAGTGTTTTGTAGACCTAGCAACTGTAAAAGTACATAAGTTAGAACTCTATTTACATGGAATTCCTAGTGAACAGAAGGGGTGTTAGTTCCTTGCGGAGGGCTTGCCCTTAAAGGAGAGTACCAGACATCTGTGCAGACTAACTGATGTACAGAAGCTATAGCAGCCAAGCTGTAAAGCCATTCAGTATTCACTTTACTGAGCTCTGAGATTGGGAACTTGAAACAGCCCCTATAAAGCCAGCTAGCATACTCTTTTGGACACTCTGGGTTTGAGGGGAAATGAAGCACAACCCTCTTCCAACATCTGAAACCCCATGAACCCAAAGGATTTGGAGGTCCTCTGAGACCTTCAGGTAAAGTTGTAGTATACTTCCTACTAAGCTTATGACTTTTGAACGTTTCTCACCATCATTGTTGAGTTGCCTCATGCTTCATTATTTTCTGTTTTACCATTTGACCTGTACACACTCTCATGTTTAAATATCCTAAACATTACCGTTGTTTTAGAACAACAGAAAACTATGTATATAACTACTTTAAATGGAAGATGTATAAGTGCACCTTGAAATGTGTAAGATGTGCATCTAGAGACAATTATACTATGATGCTCTAAGAACAGAACAGTTCCCCACACCTTTCTCAGTACATTTGTACTTGCTAATGTGGTACTTGGTGAAGTTCTGTTGCCTGCAATGTACAGGAGGTCCCACTAGATGATCACAGTGGTCCCTTCTGACCTTTAAAGTCTATGACTCTGAGGTAAACCTGTACATTCAAAGCTAACTTTGTAAGATCTGAGATGTGTCCCTTTTTCTAAAACAATGCTTATTTTGTGAGCTCAGGAAAAAGCACAGCAACATGAGCAGAGCAGCCCAGACAAGGTAAGGGAAATGTCAGTAGCAGAGGCCACCAGCCAGCCATAATTCCTAGATGTTTCATATTGCAGCCCGGTGTACTAACATTAGAGTAGGGTATAGTTACACCCTATGCTGGTGGAAGTGTGAGTTTGAGGCTAGGGTCATTTTTCTAATGAATCACTGTTACAGAACCACCTTTTCTACATAACTCTGCTGATTCAGTTAGTACCTGTGGTGGGTTGGTCTTTTGGCTGCAAGATGAAGTGACAGATGCAAGACCTGCTGGAAGGAATATTTTACCCACGGTTTGCTAAGTAGGGCTTCAAACTACAGCATAGCAGATTTAGATTAAATCTCAGGAAAAACTTCCTTAGTGTAAGAACAGTAGGGCAATGAACAGACACCTCAGGAGGTGGTGGAAGCTTCTTCACTGGAGGTTTTCAAAAGCAGGCTGGATAGCTATCTGTCTTGGATGTTTAGCCACAACAAATCCTGCATCTTTGCAGGGGGTTAAACTAGATGACCCTTATGGTCCCTTCTAACCCTAAGTATCCTGGATCTTTCTTTGCTCTGTGTTTCACTGTACATTTACACACTATTTAATATATTTAAAGAAGGAGAAATTGTTTTTTATAGATGTTAAGGACACTATATAATTGTAAAAGCATAAAGAAGCTTTGCAAACACTGGACAAATAACACTCAAGGGCGGACGGACAAAGGCAGAACAGTAGGTTGGAACCTTATTGTCTCTACCACCAAAACCAAGTATATTTCCAACAAGCTACAGGATCACAGCAGGTGCTTTTGAGAAGAGTGGGTAATTAGTTCTGCTTCTCTAGTATTTTCCCCATGGTGCACTGGCACATTTTTGGTATATGTATGTGTTGTTTACTAGCTGTTTTAAAGACAAAGGGCCCTCCCTTGAATATTGTGTTGTCATTTACACCTGTGCAAACTGGGTGTACACTGCTGCCAGTTCAGAATTGTATAGTTCTCCATTCGCTTTGCACAGCTGTAAATGGCTACCCAAGATGCAAAGCAGTGGAGAATCAGGCCCAAAGTGCTGAGATTCAACTAGGCTTGGCAGAATTTTGAATTTTTTTAATATAATTTTGACTGATCAATGCTTATTTTTAAGAATTTTTTCAATATTTATCTATTTATCTCTTGAAATTTTCATAGTTGTGGGAAATTGCGGGTGGGTGGAACCAGACAATATGGGTGGCCAGGCAATAATTATTTAATGACAGCCAATGTTGGCAGACAAAATGTTAAAGCTTTATAACTGTTAAAAACACAAATTGTCAACATCACATGTCAAAAATAAACAAATTAAATATCCTTAAATCAAATGCGAATAAGTTCTCAAGCAGCATTTTTCTTACTTTACCAATCTGTAAATTTTCCTTATCAATAGAAATATATATGCATATTTTTTAAATCAAATCCTTCCAACCCTAGATATTACTACGTAAAAAATGGCACCTTCTTACTCAGCAGATCTGCTCCCCGTGTCTAGTCAGAGCTACTGACTGCAGTGACATAAATAAGTTTTTAATACTTTTTGCCTCAGAGTCCACGTCTGGAGGAGAGGCAGGTGGATTTTGTGCCCTCATGTGCATCATCAACAGAACTGTTTACTGTGCTCCAATTAGAACTCCAGCCAGGTTAGCAGATGTCACTGAGGGCATAAATGGAAGATAATGGCATTTCACAGGTGTAACTGAGGGCATAATTTGGCCTGCAGAACTTTGTTCCCCATCATGATACACAAGAAGGAAAGAACTCAGCTTGACTTTTGAAGGTCAGCTTTAGTTTTCAAGCTAACCTTGAAAAAAACCTTTACTTGTAAATTGAGAACATTTGATATACAATTATTATGAGGCAATGGGCATAGAACCCCATGATGCCTATTTTACAGAATTTTTTCAGAGACATATTGCACTTAAATAAACAGCTATTTTTAAAAACATAAGGAAAAATGAAGAAGGGCCTGCAAATCAGCATGAAATACATTCACACTCTAGAAATGAAGAACACTGCAGGAGATGTTATATATGTATTCAGGTCATTTCGAAAAGTAGATCTATGTCTTTCCCCCACTCCCACCCTATGAGACTGTATCTGACTATAATACATATGACTATCTCACTGTATCTCTTCTTTCAGTGTGACTTTGGCTGGTGGTGTTGGGTTTCTAAGAATCTATATTGTTTGAGGTGGAGATAGTTTTGGAGCTGAGGTTGGTGCCACATTTTAGAGGTACAGGATGCACAAACTTCAGATCCTGCTCTGCCCACCTTTAATTATATTAGTCTATGAAGCAAAGTAATATCCATATAGATTTGATGCATTTCTTTGGGAATGTACATATTAAATTCCTTCAGTCCTGCCCCAGAACATAGCATTATTTAATTGTACAGTAGGGATTAAAAAATCCCTCCTAAAATGTTTAATACACAATGAACAGGACAAATCAGAGCCCTCATATATAGTGAACAATATGATCAGAAAAATGAACAGATATTAATTGTGCCTTTGTCCAGAGATCAAGGTTTGAATTCACTACAGGTGCATTCACTCCTGGACTAAAGGCCATGCAGAATCTTTGCACCACTTCCGTCCTAGTTAAGGTCTAGCATTTGCCCAGGGGCGAATCTCTCCCTGTGTTGTACAGACTGAAAGACCCAGGAAAATCAATGTACAAAAAGTGAGAATTCTGTGTCCCTCAACAAAGCTTTACACTGGGGAATTTTTCAATTCAGTTGGTTAGTTCCATATTCTGAGGTAAAATTTTGCCCACCTTTTAGTTGTGTTCCTTAACTGTGAGGTAAATGGATATTTCCCTGTCCACCCTGATGTAATCCCAAATAAACACCCTCAGCACAGGCACTCAGAGTATTAGGCTGAGTCAAGTCACTGGGTTTGGGTTCTCACTTACATACAGTACTTAATTACCATCATCTATTTGACAATTCTTCCCCTCCCAGTCAGTGAATATGAGGCACTAATGCTATGCCTTTGACATCTGGAAGTGCTGGTACTGGTGCATCTCTATGGGTTGACTTTTGTTGGGCAGGCCCAGGTTTGGGAGCCAGTGTTGTTGTGTTCTGCTCACCAAACCACAATATGTATTATTATTAAATATTGAACAAAACTCTAATCATCTGAAACAATTTGTGGGTTACATTATTTTGTTTCTATTAATCTGCTGCAAAACTGAAGCTAATCAGTTTTGTTAGCCATTCCCATGGCTTATAGAGTATTGATTTCTTCAAGGTAAGGACAGTGTCTTCCTATGTGTCAGCTAGAGCTGGACAAAATTTTTCATCAGAAACTTTTCCCACTGAAAAATGCAGATTTGGGTTGACTGAAACATTTCATCGATTTGTGCCAAACTGTTTCAGTCAAAAAACACAAACAACATTCTGAAAAAATCTAAATGTTATATTTTGTTTGACATTTTTAAAACAAAACCTTTGGATTTTTCAGTGTAAAATGCCTTTTCATTTTGACACTGCAATTTCATTAATCTTTAAATAAAACCCTCAAAGCCAAAACAAAACTGCTTGTTTGACCCAAACCAACTTTTTTTTTCTTTCAGTTCAGACACCAAATCAAAAAAAATATCAGTTAGTTGCATAGCTCTAGTGTCAGGATCAAGGACTAGAGACCCCTGATCGTGACTGGGCCTTCTGAGCCTTCGATAATGATTTAATGCTAAAACGTACTGGGACACAATCTCAAAGCTACATATTAAAGATATTTTCTTTGCTGTTCTCCCCCCATAAGAACATTGAAGTGAAGAGTGTGGATGGCATTTTCAAGAGTACTCAGCACTGACCTAGCTCTATGCCTGTTGAAGTGGATGGAGTTTTACTAGTGATTTCAACACGGGCAGAGTTAGACCAACGTTGAGCACTTCTGAGAATTCTCATCCCATCTGCCCAAAGAGCCATGCCACGGTCACTTGATTGGCTTGATGGCCACCTTGAACACTGAAGAAGCAGATGATTAGCAAAACTGTCTGAGAAAATCCACTTTAATGCTAACCTGCATTTGCCCTACAACTTGGATACCCACTGTGTGTCGATTAGTGGAGCCCTACACAATCATTTGTTGGGAGATTGTGTTTTTTATTTTCTCATGTATTCTCTGCAATTAAATTATTATTATTATTAAACTGACAAGAATGACCCTCATTTGTGTGACTTCATTGAAACTGCATTCCACTGCAGCCAAACCCTGATTTGTAAAGTGTTTGGAGGGGGAAAAAAACAATAACAGTGGTTCAAGCTGATAAAGATCTAAAGAGGCCAATGAAATATTTTGTGTCTCATGCTGGCCATTTTCATGCTTGAGACGATTGTGTTCTTTTTTTATTTTATTATTTAATTTCTTGATTAACATTTCTGCTTATTGTGTTTTTCTCATAGCTATTCTGAAACAGAGTGAAATCCATTTTACTAGATCCAGTCCTGCTGTTTTTATTTTTAGTTCTGACTCCAGCAAAACTTCCATTGATCCCAGTGGTAGCTTTGCCTGAGTAACAGAAGTGGGTTGTGTGCAGTAAAAATGGAATTTTAAATTGATCTAGGGATTGTTTTTGTTGTTTGGTGGTGGTGGGGTTTTGTTTTGTTTTGTCTGCACAATATTTTCTGCATAGGTTGAACTTGTGATTGGTTTGACTTGTTTCTTGCATTAGCACTTGCTAATTCCTCCATTTATCCATGCCAGCCTCTTTGGGTTTTCCACTTTTCCCTTTTATGGTTCTGCAGATTCAGTCCTATTTAACTTTAACTTTAAAGAGGTGATCAGTATTATACTTTGGCAAAAACACTTGCGGCTGATCCGTTTAATAACATTACTAGTTATGAACATATGATCTTGATGTAGGGTAAAAATTTAGGGCCCAGTTGTGTACGCACACTATACATATACCGCCACACTGAAATCAGTGGGCTTTCCACAAGTCGACCACTTGCATCTCCATCTCTTAGGTTGGAAAATTGAATACCCCTTGGATTAACCCTTTGTAAACTAATCGATGTAATCCAAGGAAGAAATGTTACATTCTGAAAGAAGGGCAAATATTAATTAAACTAGCGCAATCTGAAGTGTTTTATTACAGTTTTCTGAAATCATTGGTCTCCTATGTATATTCACATCACCTCTTTTTGTTTCTGCTGCAAACTCATTTGGCCACTTGTGAGACTTTACTCAGTTCTTACACAGACAAAACTCAATGAAAGTGATGTCAGTGGGAGCTTTGCCCGTGGAAAGACTTCAGGATTTGGGCCCTGGGTAGTATTCATAGGTATGTGTTAGAAATGCCCAGGGTCAGTGGTTAAACCAAACCTCTGAAATGAAATTGGTAAACAGCCAATTAAATTAAAAGAGAGAAGGAGTGTGATAGGAACTAGTGTATATAGTCTGTGTTTCTAAGCGTGATCACTGTTTGCTATTTTATAAATGTTTAGGACATTTCTGGAATTTTTAATGTGAAAGGAGTAAACTTTTCTTATTCTGCTAATGTACCTGCATTATGTATTATTTCTTTATTGACTATGCTTTTCAATATGTCAGACATTTTCTTCTGTAAATATGACATGCAGTTTTACGGAAGTCTTAGACGCATTCATTTGAATTTTTTAAAGACTGTACTAATGTGTGGTAATGTGTTTTAGAAATGGCATCTTTGTTGTAAGATGTACAAACTATTTAAACTGACTTCTTTTGTTGTTGTTCATAGAAACAGCACTAAGAAATGCATGTTCTTGTTCACTTTTCCTTGTGCAGCTGCGGACAGTCATTATAATGATGCAATTGGTTTACATCGTGTACAAAACCCGCATCCTTATTTTTAATAGGGGTTAGTTTAAAACTCGCACAGACTTTTCCTAAAAAGTCTATTTTTGTGTATTTATCTCTCAGCTTCAAGTTTTTTTTTTTTTTTGATCACACATTCTGTGCTGCTCCCAGTGCTACTTGCCTGTGGCCAGGTCTGCATGAGGGCAAGACTCGGAAGTCTTCCCCATAGACTTATGCCCCACTCCCCATGTGACATGGGTGATGAAAGAGCAGTGAGGAGTGCTCAGCTATCTCAGTTTTTCAAGCATGATGTCATGACTAGATCATTCAGGCCTTTACCCCCCCCCCCCCCCAGAAGACAGACTGATCAGTCACTTTTGCTGTCACTTTCCCCTCATGCTTCATTGGCTAAGTCAAAACAAAATGAATGTGTTACAACCTTAGCTTAGCCTAGTGTAGTCCTTTTTTCATGCTGATGTGGGTAACTGACTTAAAAACTGTATCATTTAAATAAGAATGAGTCTGAATAGCTAACTCTGGGTCTGAATCCTGCTCAGGGTTTAGGTTCAGCCCATTACCCAGATGGGACCAATTATGAAGTTTAGATCCACATTCCTTTCAAGTTTCAGGGGTGCTCAGATCCAGGATTTTGGGATGGGCCAATCTCGATATTTAACAAATTTTCTGAGAGGAATATGGATCCATTTTGCACACTGTGCCACTGCATCTTATGGATGTTTTTATGAGAAAACAGTTTAAAATGCACCTGGCCAAATGATAAATTTAGCAACTGTTTTTCCTTGTTATACAAACACACACAAAACAGCATTGTGTGGTTAAAAAAGATACATTTGTGACAGTTTCTTTTTCAGTGCCAAACATAATGAGCAGTATTGTTTGAAGGGAAATAAGAATTTTTTACTGTATTATTATTATTGTTGAACAAATCTTGTTTTTTAAATATTAGATTTTTTGAAGAATTTTGTATTGTAAACTGTTTTGTGACATGGTGCTTTTTCATACTGGAATTACTGATTGCACCGAACTCTGAATTGTTTTTCTTATATAAATGCGTAACCTTGAACAATCTTTATGAACATCAGTGTATGGTGAATACCAAGGTTCACAAAGAAATTTCCCTATTGAAGCCCCTAAATGTTCCTGCCTACTAATAAATACTCTGCTGCAGCTAGTTTTCTGGAAAGTGCTGTTGTATTGCTCCTGAAGAACAAGCACTAGCTCAAAGTACTGAATCAATATTGCACTGCCATTGGAAGCACTGTTTCTTACAAACTGGAAGAAATATGATGAGGTGACCTATGATCAGTGTTTAAAAAATCCCCTGCCACACAAACTCCCCCTCCCCCTCCAGTACCTGCTTGCCAGAAATGAAATGTTAGTCATTTTAAATTCAAACCTATCTCCCTCTCTCACAAGTCTGACTTCACCTCTCTGTTTGTCATTTCTGATGTCCATACCTCATAGCAACAATCTGTGAAGCTGGGTTTAGAGGAAACGACACGTCTCGGCATCATTGCAAGCTTCCTTCTGGCCCATTTCATTTGTTGTCCCTCAATTTGGGTCTTAGTTACAGATATGTGACTTCAGTGGCTGAGAGCTTTCTACACATGTGAGAGGAAGCAATGAACAAGAATTTCCAGGCTATATTGGTTTTACAACATACACTTATGCAGAGTTAAAACCTGCCGGCCTCCTGCAGTCCTGCTGTGAAACCAGCATCCTCCAAAGAGGATTAAACACGATGTCTCTACATTTGGACCCAGCTGGGATGACTAGGCTTGGAAATTTCTTGCTAGGAAAAGCATAGAGATGAATGAATAACCTTAATTAAAATTAAAATCTTTGCAGCAAGGTTGAACTATTTCTTTAATCCGATACCTTTCTTAAGCCTGACATGTGTATGTAGAGAAATGAGGTATAGAGTTGCTCTTTTCACAATCTGTACCCAGTGGACCTTAAGTTTAAGTAAAGTTTTTATAACGTTCCAGAGTTTAAATACTATATTAAGAAGGGGCATTAGAATTGGGGTTTCCTACTAATGCATTTAGGGTGGAATTCATCCGAGGGCACAGGGCCAGTGTAGTCTGTGCATCTCTAAGTCCTCCTTAAGACTATTTTTAGACTGAAATTATTCCCCACATGCATTATTTGAAACATTTTGGGTACAATGTCCCTGCCTGTGTCCCAGCACTAGATGAAACAACTAAAGACCAGTTTTGTAAAAGAGAGAAGAAACACTAGGAGTATTTGAACCATCTCCTCAGGAACTGAAAAGGGAGGAGGAAACATGAGGACCAGAGAATGCTTATCAGCTGAGAGAGAGAGAGAGCAAATAGCTGCCAGGTGCAAAATGGCAACAGTAGGGTTACAGCCACTAGGCTCTGTCATATTTAAAGGGCCAGCTTCAAAAAAGCATGCTGGGAACAAAAGTTCCTATAAAATGGCCCCCCTGTATGAAGGATAGTGGTTGGGACCAGGTAGTCAGACAAAGAGAGGCAGGGTCTGTGTCACCACGGCATCACACTGCAGTAAATGTGTAAAGGAAAGGGGGCAGCTGGAGAATCAGTAGCATTTAAGCTCTTCTGGTATTATGTTTCTTTCAGACTAATTTAACAATCAGCCCATTACTTTCCCAGCTGTCCCTGTTGTAGGGTGCCACTAATAAACTGATGGATTAACAAATAATATTCAAAATATTAGAAGATACCAAATGTGCAGCAATAATCCTTCCCTGAAAATGGCAAATATCTGTGGAAGGGCTCTCACCAATGGAGATGCGTGAATGTGGCTGGAATTTGGTATGGATCAGATTCCAGTAGATCAGCGGTGGATCTGTATGATCCAAATCTCTGAAGTCTACAAACTGGACTGGAAATTTTAGAACAGCCTTTCTCAAATATCCCTGGGCACTTCCCTTTCAGTCACAGCTGCCAATGTAGCACAAAAACAGCCTCTCACATGGTGGCCTGTTCTATTCCTGGCCTGAAGTGTGGGCGGGGGGGAGAGGATGTTTTCAGACCCCTAAAAAGTTTGAGTTTGGACATAGGAAGCCAAGCAGGTAGGGTGAGTAGAGGTTTTCCATCGTCTCACATCTCCACTGCAGCAGGCCAACTCCTTTCACACTTTTGAGCCAGGACTAAAAATGCCCACTTGGCCAAGCAAGATGCAGTATTTTTGCTATAACAGGGACTCACCTCAGTATCTTATCTTCGGCAGACAACGAACACTGAAAGTGATCGTTTCAACCCTTACAATATGGCTGGGACAGTAGGTGCAAGTTGTTTGCCTTTGAAGGTGAACGTTGCAGCTTGATTGTTACGCTAGCACAGAGACAACATGTAACTGTTGATAGTGGGGGTGGGGTGACCAGATAGGGACAGTCCCAATTTTGGGTTTTTTTCCTTATATAGGCTCCTATTACCCCCCCACCCCCTGTCCCAATTTTTCACATTTGCTGTCTGGTCACCCTAGTTGGGAGGCGGGGGGAATGTGACCACCGCATGTGTTGCATCTGGCTGTAGCACAGAAGGTTTCAAACTGGGGGACGGGTCCCCCTGCGGAAGGCACAGAAGAACGTTTTGGGGGGGGGGGAGAAGAATCATAGAATCATAGAATATCAGGGTTGGAAGGGACCCCAGAAGGTCATCTAGTCCAACCCCCTGCTCGAAGCAGGACCAATTCCCAGTTAAATCATCCCAGCCAGGGCTTTGTCAAGCCTGACCTTAAAAATATCTAAGGAAGGAGATTCTACCACCTCCCTAGGTAACGCATTCCAGTGTTTCACCACCCTCCTAGTGAAAAAGTTTTTCCTAATATCCAATCTAAACCTCCCCCACTGCAACTTGAGACCATTACTCCTCGTTCTGTCATCTGCTACCATTGAGAACAGTCTAGAGCCATCCTCTTTGGAACCCCCTTTCAGGTAGTTGAAAGCAGCTACCAAATCCCCCCTCATTCTTCTCTTCTGCAGGCTAAACAATCCCAGCTCCCTCAGCCTCTCCTCATAAGTCATGTGTTCTAGATCCCTAATCATTTTTGTTGCCCTTCGCTGGACTCTCTCCAATTTATCCACATCCTTCTTGTAGTGAGGGGCCCAAAACTGGACACAGTACTCCAGATGAGGCCTCACCAATGTCGAATAGAGGGGAACGATCACGTCCCTCGATCTGCTCGCTATGCCCCTACTTATACATCCCAAAATGCCATTGGCCTTCTTGGCAACAAGGGCACACTGCTGACTCAACGATGCCAGGTGTCTTGGGCCAGTCCTGTGTGGGGAAGGGAAGAGCACCTCCACCTCCTGACTCACCACAGAACCTATTGCTAAATGGAAGACAGAGCAAGCCCCACTGCAGTGCGAGGGGAGCAGTTTCCCTGGGCAGAGCCCCTACTATAGGAATGGGAGAGTGGCTTCTGCTCTGAGAACAGGCACGCCGCATTTGCCCCACCAGCAGTAGGGAAGGAGAAGCAGCCCCAAGTAGCTGTGGGGGTGGGGGAGGGGCTGACTCAGCCCGCAGCCAGCTGCCATGCTACTGTCTCCCTCTCCATGGGACACAGACACACAGAGTGTGCTGCCAACCAGGGGGAGCTGCTGGGCACCCTGGCCAGAGGCAGCCCAAGGCCTTGCTCACCCCCAGCAGGTCAGTCTGCAGCAGCCCCTCTGAGTGGGTCCCCTCAGAATATTTAGCTGTTGCTAAATGGAAGGCAGAAATCTGGGAGAGGGCATGCCCCTGCGTCTTCCCCTCCCCTGCCCTGCCCCTCTTCGCTGCTGCATGGTCAGAAGGGCATGAAGGGGGAAGATTTAGTTTCCTCTGATGATAGTCTTAGCGCCCCTGTGGCCCAGTGCATTTCACCAGTTGAAAGGTGACGCAGGGCTGCTGTATTTGGTGGGCAGGGAAGGGCAGGGGAGCGGATGCCATTAGGACACAGTCAACAGCTCCTCTTAGCCTTATAGTAGCCACACGCTGAACTGGGCCGAGTGTGAAAGCTGCTAAGCAGCTTATACATAGACAACATGCAGCTGATTTACAGGGCAGTAAAGTCATTGCACTAACCCTCAAGGCAATCTCAGGCTCTAGGTAAGGTTTACGTGCCAGTGTGGCTGCATTTACGCCCATAGTGCTAGCTCCGACTAGAATTATCTTAGGTACTGACAGGCCTGCCCCCCGCTCCCATCACCCTAGTAGCTGAGCACCTCACAGGCTTTAACGTATTTACCCGCACAATGCCGCCATGAGGCCGGGCAGTTTACAAATGTGGCACTAAGCAACAGCAGAACTAAGGGCTAGCATCACAAAGGGCCTTAGGCACCCACCTGCCATGTTAGGCACCTAGGTCCCTGAGTTAGGCGTTCACTGGCATCCCTGCTCAGCTGCCACCCAACCTGGCCAGCGGCTATGTTTTTCTGTAAAAGTTTCCTGTCCATCTATGGTTCTGCCCCTAGGCTTGTGCTCTGCAGCGTCCCGGCAGGCAGCCAGAGGCCTGAGCCTCAGAGCAAGTCACAAAGAAGTGCCGCCACCTCACTTGCCTGCAGGGCCTGACGAGCTGGGCATGCTCAGAGAGACCCCCTAATGCCACACAGACCTGCCCCGGGGGGCTCCCGCATAACCTTTAGTCCAGGGGGGTTAGACCACTCACCTGAGGTGGGAGACCTCCCCCATCAGGTCTCCCCCCCCGCCTAATAAAGAGAAGGGATTTAAGCAGGGCTCTGCCATCTGTCAGATGAATGTTCTGGCCACTGAGCTATGGGATAAGCTGATGTGGAGCAACCTCAGGCTCACCTTGCACTTTGGCTATTGCACTTCGCACTTTGGCTAATTAATTAGTGTCATTGGAGCAGGGGCACTGGAGCGTGGGTCTTCCACCTGCTAGATATGCCCGCCTCCCCCCCCCCTCCAACCCAGGCTGGAGGCAGTCTCGCTTGCAGGCCCAGCGACGCTTTAATTAGTTAGCTGCAATGGAGCAGCTTCAGCAGGAGAGCTTGAGGGAGCTTCACATCAGAATAGCCCCAAGTACAGTGGTTTGCGCACTCTCCTGAGAGGCAGGGGACCATGGGCAGTGGGTGAAGCTTCCCCTTGGGGAGGCTAGCCCCTGTCCTGCCTCTTCTGGCTGAGGCCATGCTCCCGCTCGCTGCTCTCATTCCCTTGCTGCTCTTCTTCCCCTCCCCACCGGGGCTGAAAGCTGGACCCCTGTGGGGGGAGTGGGGGGGTGGGCTGTGCTGAGAGCTCGGTCGGGGGCCATGGGGTTGGGAGGGGAGGAGCTGAGCGGTCAGCCCTGACTGAGCCTGCAGCAGACCTCTCAGGCCTGGCAGGAGTTCTGAGCCCAGACCCCCCCACCCCATTCCATCCCTTCTCCCACAACCCTGCTCCTGTTGCACCTCCCCCCGCTTGCTCCTTTCGGACCCCCCCCGCTGTGGCCCCAAGACCGGAAAAGCTCAGGGCCACAGCATAACACGAGCGCGCCTCCAGTCCCAGGGCAGTGGTGGGGAAATTTTTCCAGGATCCCAAATTGGCCATGGCCCCTGGGCACAGGTCCCAGGGCTCATGCATTCATCTGCCACTGCCTCCCTCCCCACCCCCACAATGGCACGAGGTTTGGGGAGGCTTAGTCTACCCCAGCCACCATTATGCACTGGCCATGCGATGCGTGAGACCACATCAGGTAGGCACAGGCTCTGCATGCAGTTTCTGGGGGTGGGTTCCTCTCAGTATCCCACTTCGCTACAGCTCCTGGCACCCAGGCTTGCCCAGTCCCTTCCTAGTCAGAATCCTTCTTCCCACCTGGCCAGGAGGAAGGTAAGTGCAAGGGGAAGAGGGTTAATGGGCGTTGGCATCACCTGCTTAGCATATCCAGCATGCCAATTAGCTTTGAAAATGTTTGCTATGGAGCTTGGGGCAGTGCCCCATGCAATTAGCCAACTTTTGCTGCCTTTGTTTTATGAAACTCATGGGGGCCTCAGTGCATGAATCAAACACTACACCAGTGTAATACTGTGCTTTACTGCCCATGGATTAAGGCTGATATTGTGACTTCCAGTCCCTACTTGTAAATACACGAGTATTGACTCCAGAGCTTGAGTAATATGTATTTTCACCAGCCCCTCTTGATTCCTTCATAATAATTGCTACTTCTACTTTTTTGGAAAGTTTCTTAGAGACAGAAAGAGGAAATGGAAAAACAGTTCCTAATAATGCACTATACACCAATGAACCTATTGGACACCAATCTCTCTTACATATGAATATTTATTATTTTCCTTCTGAAAAATGTACAAAAAAATAAAATACCTGTATTTATAGTTTATCAATCCCCTCTCCCATTTACAACACTATTAAGTTACATGAGCTATTACCTTAATATAAACGCACACTGTTTATACATAAAGCTTCCTTGCTTGCCAGAGAGAGGGGCTGTCACAAAATTTGGCACAAACACACCTGTTTGCATCTTATCACAATTTAAAGGAAGTGGGGAAGGGAATAAACATTTGACATACTTTACACTTTAAAAGTCTCGGGAAGAGCATTCGTTTCCAGTTCCACGTCACACCACACGCTGCATTCAGAACAGTGGTGCAGCTTCGTTTTTATTGATAGCACTGAAGCCATCAGTTCCATTCAATCTGCAACTTTTAAACAATCCATAGCTTTAAATACAGGAAAATAAACAGGAACAGTGTCTGAAACAATATCATCTGTAGTTGCTTGATCAACACATTGTGCAAGAGAAGAGAGAGCAGGAGATACACCCAAGGAAGAAAAGTCCATTTTTTTCTGAGTGTGTGCCCTTCAGTGGCAAAAAACCCCACCAAATTGTAGTTATCGCTAATCTTGGGCAGGGTGGGAGGAGGGGGGGTGCCCTTTCCCCACCACCCACCAACAAAAAAATGTAGCCTTCAAAACAGGGGTTATGATTCTATGCATTTGCTTTGGGCTATAAGCAGCTGAAATATGTTGGAGCAGCATCAGACTTTAGAGTTGCATTGCATAGTTTGGCTTTCATAATAAGGCATTCAATCCACTGACAGCTCAGGAATTACTACTTGTTGCATTATAGCTTTGGTCTTTTGTGGGACAGCTTCTATGTACAGTCCTGTTGTAATGTTAAAAAACTAGTGGCACATCTGTAAACACTAAGTTTCCCTTAATGTAAAGAGCTCCATGAACCAGCCGCCTTTCAGACTCCACTAGTTCATAGTCAGGACTCCTCACTTGCAGGAGGAGATTTTTGTTCTTTTAAACCAATAGCCACAAAGTGCCCCCCCCCCCCAAAAAAAAAAACCAAAACCAAAACCAAACAAAAGACCAGCAAGCTAACACAGGCATTTTTGTCCGCTGGTGCACCATTGCCAAATCTCACTCCCATTTAAACTAGAAGCACATTTTAAATGTAAGCTACATTATTCATCATAAGATTTGATGAAGGATAAGTGACATACATGTTTTAACCAATATGAATGTAAATAAATGCATGGTATTTTTCTGGGCCAGCTGAAGCCTTTGAACCAATGTATAATGGATATTTAGACTGGACAGAGGAGCTCTCCCATTGTTCTAGCAGCGTGAGTTACTGGCACTGGGCCTTTCTGTGACTCGAACTCCTCCTTTTGACCAACAACCCTTAAAGGTGAGCCAGCACGCTTTTAACCTGTCAAGACCAGAGTTCAGGGTCCTGTGTTTCTCCTTCCACAGCTCATGCTGTCACTAAAACCTAAAGCAGGGCAGTGAGCTGTGTTCTCTGTAAGGCTCTAGGTGCTTGGGATGCCATCCACTGGAGCCCCCTAAACTTCAGATCAATAACTCTAAAGAAGACATGACTAGCAGATTTGCTTAATATAGCTATATTAGTCATTGTTAAACCCATCTCTATATCGGGCCAAATCCTGCTTGCCAAAGAGGCTTTTAGCTTCCAAAGAGGCTTTTAGCTTCAGTAAGGCTACCTGTGTGAGTAAAGCCAGAAGGATTTGGATGTTCTGTCACTGTCATGGGATCTTAAGCACTTTATTTGAAAGTGTATTTTACAAAATCTTTTCAGTTAATCTTGGACGCACCTTCCCTTTTGCAGATTGTGCACAAGCTGCAGCTCCTGAGCCTGGGATCAGAAAGATGTTTTGTCTCACCCCTGTTCCCATTTCCCAAAACCTTGCAGTTCTCACCCATCCTAAGCTAGCAAGCAGCAGTGCTCCAGGACAGTGGGACACACTGCAACCCACAGGACATTCACATCATATCAGTTATGCAGGCGAGAAGGAATAAACACATTCCTGGGGGAGGGAATGCTAAGTCCGCTATTAACCCAAGCACTGCTGCTACATGTGCAGGCTTTGCTGAGCCTTTCTTTAGCAATGGCAACTATGTGGTGAATCCAGAATCCCCATCGACACCTGCCAATCATGTGTATTGCTAAACAGTCTAGTATCAAAAGCCACAGATGGTTAAAATAGATAAAAGAGCTTGCCTGATATCAAAGGGCTTATGTGTTTGTTTACATTTACCCACAGGCTTAACTTTAAGCACGAGTAGCCCCACTGGACCCTTGTGACTGACTGAAAGACCCTGTTGAGATGTCTTAGAATTCCAAACATTTCTTCTATTTAAAAAAGAAAAATACAAGAACAAATCCCATAACTCAGTCGGACTGTGCATCGTACCCAGGCCTGAATCTAACCTGCCAGAATTCACTTCTTTTTATGAAGAGTCAGAAACAAGATCTGGTCCAAGTCAGGGTAGATCCTTGCTCCAAACAAAAGCCAAATTCAACCACAAGATTCCTATTCCTCAGAATGTCCACTCTTATACCTCATCACAGGTGGGTTAGAAAAGCAGCCATGTAGGACTGTGTGTAGTATGAAAAGGCCATGACACATCATTCAGCACTACTTAATGGAGAGAGAGCTGCAGATGGGGAGGGGAAATAGAAGATCTACAATGCAAACAGAAATACAGCAAAAAGCAGATTCTGGATACGTTGGGTTTGATTCTCCCCTGAACCTTGCCTGGGTTCCAGTCCTGCAAATGATTACGTACATGCTGAACTACTATTGCAAAGTATTGATTTCATTAGGACTACATACATGAGTACAGTTACGCATGTGTGAAGGGTTGGGAGCTTACATCTGTACAAAGCAAGTGTTAAAACAATATATCACCAAATCAGACTGCTGGCATTTTACACCCATCTTTGCACAGATGGAAATGACAATATGAGGTGCAAAGCAATAGAGAATCAGGCCTATTAACCTGGGCAAACATTTCTGCAATTGGCCATTGCAATAACATGCCTGAAATGGACCAGCATTGAGACAGAAAGGAAAGGATTTTGGAGAAAAAAATAGAGACACACCAATAGAACCACCAAACAATTGCAGTGCATTCAATTTTTAGAGGCAATGGACCAAATTCATCCCCAAAATTAGCCCTTTGAAGTTAATGGAGTTACACCAGGGAGGAATTTGGCCTGATACTTGTAAATATTCCAGTATAAATACTGAACCAAACCCATGAATCAGATGTGAATATTAACTTCCCAGCACAGCCTCACCCCTCAGCAGTTTGCAGAAATCTAAACCTCGCAGAGAGGAGAAACTCAGTTCACCCTTAATCCAAACACAAAAAAACATAGTGGCAGTAAACACGCCCATGTACAGTAGGTTAAAATATATTATTGCATATTATAAACATTATATACAAAGTTAAAATGGTATTTTTTCCAGCTTACTTACAAATTACAATATAGATGAATGCCTTACTTACACGTCCTCATTGCTACACGCAGAGAACAACCAGAGGTATTTGGCAAGACTATGCGCTACAGAGCAATAGGCATCATTTTAAGTAGGTGAATTCAGTTGGTCACTTTCCCCTCCTTTAGCACTGCACAAATTAGTAGCATCAGATTTTCTGGCAATTGATTGTGGAGGGGGCTATTGTTAAAGCAATTTCAACCAGATTTCCCAAGTTGGACCAATACAATTCCTTTCCCTAATTTAGGAGGCACTTGTGCTGTTTTAACATCTGGGTTCAAAAGGTGCTATTTCACATGAACTGGGGGTGACTGCTCTGGTAATCGCTTGTACATTGAAGAGGGGGGAGCAATAAATAAGGGGTCAAGTGAACATGCATGGCCTCATGCTTGACAGACTCAAGTCACTGTTTGTTGGGTTTGTTTTTAGTGTTGAATAACAGAGTGGGTGATATTTTCAATGCATTTTTGTAACAGCTTCTCTGATCAGCGTTGACAAGTCTGCAAGGTTCCTGGGGAGCGTTCTTCTTCACAACAAGGATGAAATGCTGTGGTTCCTCAGGAAAGGGCCCTGAGCTGGGCTAGATCTCAGTCAGCGTGATCTTGAAGCCTTCCACTGTGCTCTCCATGTTCAGGATGAAAGTGTCCTCGTTGGAGTAGTGCTCAATGATGTTATCATCCATGTTTACCAAGATACTGGTGAAAATGAAGAAATCAGTATTCTTACATACATGGCTAATCAAAGGGAAGATCATGCACACTTGCCCAAAGCAAAGCTGCCTGGCTAGGTGTACTCACTTCCTAATCCTGATTGACCCCAAACTGGGGCAGGAGGCTATAAGGGACATACAGAGATCTCTTTCAGAGACCCACTTGTGAAATCTCTTCCCCTGCCTAAAGAGAACGGAATATCCCCCTCCCTCTCCCTCCGCCTGGCCATGCATTGTGAAATCTCAACGGGGGTGGGAGAATGGAGGTAGTTTGTTTGCTTTATTTTCTTTACTTATAGACTCTGGGCTAGAGGAAGCTGCTGGAGCTGGGACTCTTGCGGTGCTTATAATCTCTGCAGGACAAAAGAGAGCTGCCAGGGGCAGGACATCTGTGGAGTTTATAAATTGCCTAGAAGTAGAGCTACAGCCAAAGCTTCTGCATCGTGCAACTCTAATGACGCTCCCTCACTCTCCCTGCCCCGGGAGCTCATAGTTGCCTGCAGAGGTGTTGGGCTGCCCAGATGCATCTTGCTACTCCCAGCCTGCTGTATACACACACGGAGGGTTACTTCTGTGTGAGTCAATGATTTTTTTGGAAATGATTTGTAGCTGGGTGTGAAGCCTGAGCTACACCATATGGGGTGGGCTGTCGTAAAGGTCAGCTTGCATGTGAGAATATAACATGTTTCCTCATTCTTTTCGACAAAAATAGCTTCTTCTAAGAAATGTAACAGCTGAATATGGTGTTAGAAAGAAGCTGACTTAAAAAGCAAACTAGAATTTCTTTAGAAGCCATGGAAATTCCCCCACAAAACACTTTGTTCAGGTAGAATTAAGGCTGTAAATAGGCTTTAAAATGACATTACTAGAATGTTGTCGTTATTTCAAAGTAAACATTGAAGTGAGCTGTAGCTCACGAAAGCTCATGCTCAAATAAATTGGTTAGTCTCTAAGGTGCCACAAGTACTCCTTTTCTTTTTGCGAATACAGACTAATACGGCTGTTACTCTGAAACCTGTCATTGGAAGTCAAGACATTAAGGCTTGGGGGGGTTGGAGATTGGTTGTTTTTAAACTATTGGCACATTTGAGTCATTGTAAAAAGTCTACATTTACTCAGCTAACGTTCTAATATTGAACATAGTTCTGCCCTTCCCTCAACTACCAGTTCCCTGTCAAACTTTCAGCTCTGGGGCCATAGACTATTCCAGAAAACTCTACATCCTGCCAAGTCAATTCTGAATGCAGCCACTGGTTAAAGGCTGGAGAACCAATAGGCCAGTAAATCATAAAGATTACATATATGGTCTGCACAGGACTCTGTTCTCACCCCATTATGGGATTGATACCCCATTCAGTCCATAAATACTGAAACTACGTGCTCCAGACACAGACTAGAGATCAACTTTTTCCATATCTTTCACTCTTTGTCATCTATTTGGGTTAGGGACTTGCTTCCTATTAGGTATTTGTACAGCACAGAGTACAATGGAGCCATGATCTTAGCTGCAGTCTCTGGGCACTACTGTACCAAAAAATCATCATGATTAAGGTTTTACTTTCTCTTACCCCTTTTTGCTTTTCTTGTAAAGTTTTGCAATCTTTTCTACTGGAAGCCCATATTTCTCAGATATCTGAAATCATTAAACAACAACAACAACACAAGAATTAAAGACAAATGAGGAACAGGAAAAACATTCTGTACCTTTAGGATAAGATATTGAAGCACCAACTCATGGAGACTCTTTTAGCAAATATATATATATATATATATATATATATTTTCCCATGTTAAAAGGGTCACCATCAGCCTACTTTCATGGACAATGTGGCCTAATTGAAGACTATTGTGCTCTGGAGAGGGATAATCCTAAATAACTAGATTTTTATAAAAACACTCATCAGTCCAGCACCAAAAAACATGGTAAGTATAACCACCTTTGAGTACAGTTTGAGAGTTTTTCCTAGTACTCTGCTCCAGCAGTTAACATTTCTTGTCCCTGGTCACATTTGTGCATTTAGCAAGACCATTAATATACCTTCCATATAATCAAATGCAGTTTCTCATTCTGCTGACAGTGCTGGTTTTCTGTGCAGGGGGCTCATGTGCCTGGCATCCATTCCTGGAGCACAAGTCTGCAGGGACACCCTAACCACGGAATGAAAGATGGGCTGTCACTGGACCATCCACTGGGTTAGAACTGGTTGACCAATGAAAAAAATGTGTGCACATTTTCATTTTTCATCAACATTTCATTTTTGGTTGGAATTTTCCAGCCAGCTATAGTCTGACTCCCTGAGGCACATAAGAAAATATCATTAAACTAGAGGGCTTTCAAAAACATTTCTTGAGATGTGTCCATGGATGAACCAGAACGTACAAGAGAACTTTTGAAGGATGACATCTTAGCTAACTGAAATTACCAAGGACAAATCCACTCTATTGTAATGCTTTAGGCAGCCCTTTGCAGGACGTGGCAGTTCACTGGTAAATCCTTTGATGCTCATTATAACAGCATAACCCATGCCACGATAACCCCATTTAATGTTTACGGAGATAATAATTCCAGTATTCATCAATCTCATACCAATTTCATTTCAGAATTATTACTTTGTTCTTTGGGGAGGAGCTCTGTGACACTTTTTTCCTTTAAAGGAAAGGCAAAAGCAGATTGTTCCAAAAAGGGAAAACAATTATGTCAAAGGTAGTGTCTCTGTCACAGACTGTTCCAGGCAAGAGGACGCTGCAAGCATCCAAGCAAACTATTTGCCCTCTCCCAGGTGAAATTAAATTATGTTGCTACTAAACAGTTCATTGTCCACTGCATTAGAGAAGTGAAATGCACAATTAAAAATTGTTTTTGAGTAAAGACTGTCAGACATCAGCCACTAGCCCTAGGTAGGTGTTTGTGTGTTGTGGGTGGGTGGGTGGGGGGTGTGTGTTCAGCATGACTTTGAGAAAATGGAATGTTTTCTAAAGGTAAAAGAGAATAATTGTTGTGAAATGGAGACTGAAGAGCAACAAATACCCAGTACTCCAGCACCACAGGCAAAAGGAGCAAAGGAAAATGCTACTACAAAAATCAAAACATGGCTTCCTAACATCAAGAAGTGGTCATGACCAGAGCCTCGAGGAAGTCTTTAGGGAAATTGAAAGACTGATCTAATTTATCTGAGAAGTGCTTGGACATGATGGGTGTTGTATAGAATCTAATAGATAAGGCACTAACAGATGGCGCTAAAGAATATATAGCATAATTCCTAGATTTTGCAGGACCAATACAACGTGTTAGGCACTGCAAATGGGTGTGTCTGGTCGCTCTGACAATGGGCCTGGTAGGAACCGCAAGACTAGATCAGGGAGATTTGATAAGAGATGCAGGTGCCATCCACACTTCTGGTTTAACACCGCATAAGGAATGTGAGGCAGTTTACATTTTGGCAGTGTGGTTTCCATGTGAAATTTGTAAACTGTCAATTTTTTTAGGGTTGCGCTTTGTCAGGCTGGTGCTCTCAGTCATGGCTCTGACATGGTTCATTGCCTCTGGAAATGGCTGGATGTGCTAATGCTAGGCCTGGTCCCATATTATCATTTGTATTAAAATAACGCCAAGAGGCCTCCATGAGGATCAAGGACCCATTGTGTTAGGCACTTTACAGCCATGTAGTAAAGCACAGTCTCTGTCCCAAAGAGCTCACAATCTAATGTAAACAAAATATAACAGGTGGGTTTATCAAACATGAGGAGGGATGGAAGAGAGAAAGGACATGGGTAACGCTGATAAGATCATGCAAAATTCTGAGCACTCTCAATTCCCACTGGTTTCCATGGGAGTGGGGGTTCTTAGTATCTCCCAGGGCCACGCAGCAACTTGCGGGGTCAGGCCCATTATTCACAGAAGGATGGTGAAGATGTTCTAAATTGATTTGCATTAAAAACCAGTTAACACTCTGCTAACATGAATAAGGCTTGACGGATGAGGTTTGTGCCTATACAGAATCCATAGTTAACAGCATGTAACTGCTTGCAAAGTTAGACTCCAATCCTGCACTGTGATCTAAGCAGGTGGGCTGCTGCAGGCACGTAGCTCACGTTGCAGTATTGGAGTCTTAGACAGTACCCTTATCAAACTAATCTCAGTCAGTATTGCTACTCAGGAAAGCTCTTTTACTGCTTTTTATTCTCATCCAAAGAGGCAGGGGGTTACATGTGTCAAGAGGGGAACATACCTACATGTGTGCATACTGTCTGAGAGAGGAGGGAAGAAAGAGAGACAGCAGATTATGACTAAAAGGTGACGCTCTAAAAGTAATTTAGCTGAAGTGGAAAACAGAAATGATAGAAAGTGTCTAAGTCTGATTGCTAAAAGGGGGGACGGTTTAAAAGTGCAATCAAGGCAAATTGCCCTGTCACTGTAACTCAGGAAGAGGCTAGAACATCAGTAAGAGTAGCTGCCATTTCCAGGCATTAAATTCTCAGAGATATTCCCATTTCCTCCTTTTACTTCTCCCTTATTATTAATTCTCTGTATTACCGTTGTGCCTAGGAGCTGGAGTCATGGACCCATTTTGCTAGGCACTGTACAAACACAAAATCCCACAATCCTTGTTAAGTAGTGACCAGGGGTCAGATAATATCAGGTAAGTGAACTGGTGGCTGCAGCTCTCATGTGTTCCCAAGTCTACACTTTCATTTGAAAAGAAGCATTAAGGCTCTTTCCCTGTTGGTTGTGAAGAAATCCTTGAACATGTTACTCAAACGTAAAGTGGTGCAGCAGTGTCTGCAGACAGGCTCAAACAATAGCTTTGTGATAGATACGGACTGCCCCTTTTACCTCACTGGGGAGCTGACTCTGAAGCCTAATGATGACTTAATCGTCAATATTTTAACAGGCTATTAGCACAGCTACATGAATTTGTATCTCTGTCCCATGGCAATGTTTATCAAAAACGTCAGGCAAACATATAAAAGAAAATCTCCCTGTCCCAAGGCCATTTGACAGCAGCTAATCCATAGCATACTGCACATACCAAGGCAAAGCTTTCCTGGGAAACCTCAGTAGACCTAAGACACACATACCGCATGTTTTTAGAATTGGTTTGGGATGTCCCATTCTAAGTATATTATTAGGAGATACTTTGGGGAATGCCTTGTTTGCCAAACCCTAGGGCAGGTGCAGGATTTATATAACATGTCCGGATTACTGGGCTTTGGGAAATACCTGAAGTTGATTGAGTTAAGCACATTTCTCAGGAACCACTAAAGTTTCTGCCAACTACTTAGAATAGTAAACTATGGAGGCAGGGATCAGAGTGGGGTTATGGGAAAGCCTCTGATTCAGAAGGTTCTGAAAATGAGCAGCCACAGCAAACGTGCTAGAATCCTCGAGTCCTGTTATAGAATCAGAGAATTTAGAGATGTACTGTCAGGGCATCTCATTTAACACCCTCTTCCAAAGCAGGATAGTTGGGAGTGGGGATCCTTCCAAAGCAGGCTGGTATACAGAGTATTCTCCGGAGCTATCACCAGTCTCATTATAAATAACCCAAATAATAGGACTTCTACCCTTTCCTCAGGGAGATTATAATACATTAGAATAGACCTCTCTGTTAGGAACATTTTCTTAACATTCAGCTTTCATATTCCCTTCCTGAATTTCATCTCATTGCTCCTAGATCAAGTGGTCACCCTTAAAATATTTGCCAATTGCCATAGATAACTTGTCCATGTAGCATGTTAATCCGCACGAGAGGTGTGTAAATTCTCGTGTGCACTAGCATGTTGTGCACTAACTGGCTCACATGGACCCTGCTGACGCACACGAAAAGTTTCTTAATGCCAGCTAATGTAGTACGGTTTGAAATGGGACTAGGTTAATGCGCACTTGGAAACTTTTAGTGTGCACTAGCAGGGTCCACTTTGCCAGCTGGTGTACAACACGCTAGTGTGCACTAGAATTTACATCCCTCTAGTGTGGACTAACACACCATGTGGACAAGCCCTGAGTGAAGTAACTTCAGTATTTGAAATTTAACAGCAAATGCTAACTTTTGAACCATCCTTAACAGTGAGAGCTATCCTTTCTTTACTAAAACAAGACTCCCAAACAGCTAAAAAATATCCCTGTCATGTGACCAGTAAGGATGGTTTTATGTTGAGATGAACACAGGAAAAACAGCTATAATAGAAAAAGAGACTAAAGACCAAATCCTTGACTAACTGCTCCAGCCCTTTGTGTCAAGCCTGGCAAAATGCGACCCATGCCTGTCCCACCCCACGTTAGAGGTCATGTTGGAGGGCCATGTGCTGTCTGGTGTGGAATAGCACAGAGCTGAAGCACGTTGTGTAGGGCAGTCAAAAATTTTCCATCAAACCCATTTTTTCATAGAAAATTGGATTTTTGATTAAACAAAATTTTCTGCAATTTCTGTATTCTTTCCATGGAAAATTTCAACTTTTGTCAAAAAAACCCAAACACCCGAAAAACAAAAAATTTTCAGTGTTTGACTGAAAACAGAAAACATTCAGCCAAATGATTTCCACTGAAAACTGAAACTTTCCTTTTGGTAATGCTGAAACATTTTTGTTTTGAGATTTTTAACCTAAACAAAATGTTTCAGCTTTCCCAAATAAAACTGTTTTGTTTGGACTCTGTTTGACATTAAACCACATCTTCCTGAGTGACCACATTGCCTCATGGGAGTTGTAGTTTGGATGCCTCATGCTCCTATTCTCTTCTACAGGCTGGGTTCCCTGGACAGACTACATCTCCCCTGATGCACCACAGCCATGGGATTGCCATGATTCACTGTAATGGTTTTAAGCCATCTTTGGAGAAGATCAATGGATATGGTGGAATCCAAAGTGGAAGCTGGCTAGATTCCAAGATCTTATTTTAAGAGGTACTATAAGTGGTATGTCTGGATAGTTCACAGGCAGCAATTGAGCATGTGGATGTGGTACTTTGATGTCACTGGCACTTTATAGTCTTTTGAATAAGTGACTTTATTATTCTTTAAACATCTTTCTTTCTCTTACTAATTTGTTAAGCACAAATATCACCCTCTGTGTTTACATAAAGAAAGACAGGGTCCCTGTTCAGAGGAGTTTGCTGTCTGAATGTAAATTGACGTAAGACATGGGACAAAGGGAGAAGCCCTGAGGATGATGTTAGTTTAGAGGTTTTGGTTATTGGGAACCGCAGAGCTGTTGGGAGCTGAAGAGGCGGCGCCTGCAGATGGGGCAGCATGCAGAACTGCCTGGCCGGTGCTGCGCCTCCACGTTGGAGCTGAAGGGGGAACATGCTGCTGTTTCTGGGAGCTGCATGAGGTAAGCAACTCCTGACCACCCCCCACGCCTAAACCCCCTGCCCCAGCCCTGATCCCCCTCCTGCCCTCCAAACCCCTCAGTCACAATCCGGAGCACCCTCCTGCACCCCAAACCCCTCTTCCCCAGCCCCAGCCCAGAGCCTGCACCCCCATACACCCCAACCCCGTGCTCCATCCCCAGCCCAGAGCCCCCTCCCACACCGTGTACTCCTCATTTCTGGCCCCACCCCGGAGCCCGCACCCCCAGCTAGAGCCCTCACCCCCTCCTGCACCCCAACTCCCAATTTTGTGAGCATTCATGGCCTGCCATAAAATTTCCATACCCATTCTTTAGGCCCTTGGGCCAAAAAGTTTGCCCACCCTTGTCCTGTTCAGTTTCCTGCAAAACACTTCTTTCGTCTGGAGTTCACAGGGAGGGGAGAATTTCACTAAAACTAACTGGACTCTGTTGACTCCCTGGGCTGCAGGTAGACAGCAGGGGAAAGCCAGCCTGTAGCAGCAGGTAGCAGGGATACAGTGGCACAAGCAACCTGCAATTCTTGCTCCACTGAGGTCTTGGAGATTACCAGCACAGTCCACAAAGCATGCAGGCCAGTGCAGGAGCCGGCTGGCTGGGAGGTGTACTGATTCCTCTCTGGCTGGGAGTTAAAATTACTGTCCTCTCTCTGCAGCGGAACTGATCCCATGGGGAATTTGCACTCAGATGGGTTTCAGAGTAACAGCCGTGTTAGTCTGTATTCGCAAAAAGAAAAGGAGTACTTGTGGCACCTTAGAGACTAACCAATTTATTTGAGCATAAGCTTTCGTGAGCTACAGCTTTATGCTCAAATAAATTGCTTAGTCTCTAAGGTGCCACAAGTACTCCTTTTCTTTTTGCACTCAGACGATACATCTGACCCATTATATTCCAATTTTTGTCTAAACAGACTCCACAGGATTTATTTGTTACTTTTTAGTAACCATGAGATATTCACTGCTTGGGAGAGGCCTGATTTTTCCCCTCTGCAGCTAGAATAAAGCAAATGGCCCCTTCTGGTCCTACGTAGTATAGTTCTGGAAGTACTCTATTGAAATCAACAGAATTACATTGATTTAAAATCAACTCAAGCAAAAGCAGAATTAGACCCCTGACAGTCAGCAATCAGCAGGAACGCAGTGTTTTGTGATTGCTGATCTTTTTTTCTAGACACTACGGATACATGTAACTGTTTTCTGCTGACCACGAGTGCCTCAAGTAAAAGGCAAGCATAGAAGGGATGAATATTTGCATCATGTCTTTGAGTCCGCCTACCTCTGAAACCTGAGACCAGTAGCTATTCCCCAGAAAAGAGTAATCTGAGTAGGAAACTGACTGTTCTTTTGGAAAGTGTTAGGAAGGAGAAGAATAAAATAAACCCTAAGTCTGAGAAAATACTGTCAAGTGTCATGGAAAATGTGGAGAACGCCAAAGACCAGGAAGTGTGATAAACAAGAAAAATGTATATCTTGTAAACACAAAAGCGGAGTTTGAATTAGGATCACTCAGGGAGCCCTTCATTATTCATGGGTTTGAGCCTTATTCTTTCAAATCTTATTACTGAGTTTAGATTGTGTAAAAATCCAAATGACCTTCACATAAAAGGAACTGCTGGAAAGACTGTGGGAAGAATACATGGTGCATGCAAATAAACAGCGTTTGGTATGGATTTCCCCATCATACCACCATTCTGCCTACCAACGAGAATGTCTGTTTTCCGAATGTGTTCAAGATCACTGAAACTAAAATGAACATTTCACTCCCAGACTAGATTCCATCAGTGCTAAAAATGTATTACTAACCCACAGCCATGCCCATGGACAAGAAACAGGGAATTTTTCTGCCTCTGAGCTACTTCTGCTATCTTCTCTAATGCACATTGCCGAGTGAATAGGCACAGAGATGAAGAGGTCGTTTAGGTCTAAATTTACTGTCAGAATGAAGGGCTGTAGCATGATTATAACACACCTAGAGCCCAGCTACAACAAGATCAAATCCTGTTATAACATTATTAATTAGACAGCAAACTCTTCAGGGCCCTTAGAACTACTTCATTAGCCAGCCGTCTGTTCTCCCCTGCTACTGGCATGCTACAGGGGACTGTCACCCAGCACATTTTGTTCTAGGTCTCTGCTGTTGGGCTGTAAACAAGAACAAGCCCAACATTAACCCTGACAGTCCCAGTGTACATTTTTTAGTGCTCATAGCTGAGGACCTGGAAACAAGCTCTAAGTTGGTGCTCCTCTCCCCTTCCCATTTCTCTTCTTAACTAAATTCTACCCTCCCTGCCTCACCCAGCCACCCCACGCACAGCTCACTGGTAATCTGACATTTCCCAACCCCCTCTCCACTCTGGGGTCTTTCCTGCACCTCACCAGACCTCACAACGTGACCACAACTGGTGCCAGGTTATCAAACTAGGATTAAATTTGGAGGTGTCCACTGCTGATCAGGGATCACTGGATTGCAAGTAGCAGCAAAGCCAAATCAGAGAAGAAACAGAGCTGGCACAGGCAGTTCACAAAGAGAAGACTTCACTTTGGAAGGCTGGAAAAGATAGGGAGTTGCTGGCAGAAGGTATCGAGGAGAGGAAAGGACTGGTTCTTGCCAAGTAACCATTACCAATCCTTTCACCCCTAGCAGAGCAATCCCACAAAAGACCTAGGAAAAGGTATATTCACAGTCAGTATCCTAAGGTTAAAAAGCGTTAGCAGTGGACACACACGCAGTTGCTACAGGCAAAGGTTTAAAAAGCTCTTGCATAGGGAGGCATGTCGGAACACATAGTCTGACCCTATTTTCTTCTTCAGGCATTTGTTAATTACCTCAGTTTCTCAAGACTCAAGACCCATAAATCAGCTGTACGAATTAGTCTTATCTCATTGACCTGCTGACAGTCCTGAATTTCAGATAAGGAGACATGCTCCAGAAAGCCTTTATGGAGCAGTTAAATATGTATGAGGATGGCTTTGTATGTGCACTATGTGTTCTGTCTAAGTAATACTTTGAGAATCTCAAGATTTTCTTTGAGTGGAAGATTAATGAGGTAGGGATGTGAAATACTTACCGCTTCCATTAGCCCCTTTACTGTGGGTGACTTTAGCATCAAAGCATCATACACTTCATCCGCCTCTTTCCTCACATACAGAAGCACTGAAAGAGCAAGAATCAAATTTGGAGCAGGCACAGACAACTGAACAGATGAAATACGTCTTATTAAATAGGAAGCCAAATATTAATCCTGAATCAATGACAAATCAACACAAATAATGAAAGCCAGATGTTGTTAAAAAGTAACACCATCTCCTGTAAACACTTATGTAAACTTGCAGGAGGCATATTGGCACACAAAGAAAATTAAACAAATTACATTAAATTTTTGAGGAATCCATGTTTTTGTGAATTTAAGATTAGTTAATAGTTTTACTGAAATATGGGAAGTCCCAGCTGAAGAGCATTTGAGCTATTGCTTTGTAGATTTTCAGTCCCTGGGCTGAATTGTGGGATCAAACAACTGAAATTATAACCAGTTCTCTCTGCAACCTATTTATAAGATTTGCACCTCTCTAACCTTTAGCCAAAAGGCTAGGGAAAGGAATTCAGAAAAGGCAAGTCTACTTCGTAAATTAACTTTCCCTTAAGCCAATACCCTGAGAAAAAAGTAAGTTAAAAAAAAGTAACATTCTTTGATGTTACCATTTTGGCAGTCTTAAATGTGCACTCTCAAAATGAGATCTAGTCAATTTCACAGAATGAGTTAAAAGTAATTTCAGGCACTATAGGGGAGTTATTCAAAGGCACAAATGGCAGGTAGGCACTTACTTCCCATTGATTTTCACCTGCCCTTTGTGCCTTTGAAAATCTCCTCCTCAGAACCCCGCCAATTTTTGCGGGTTTTCAATCATAGTTTCCTGTCTGATCTAGATGTTTTTTCTCTCCCCTCTTGCTGTGCTAAACACCCACACAGATAAAAGGGAAACCGATTGGCTGGATATTCAGGGGAAACAGTGAAACAGACTCTACACAAAGTGCTGACACAGGTACAAAGTAAACAAACTGAAAATTAGAAAAATGCATTTATTAGTCTAATCTCTTTTACTTATCTGAATCTTAGGTGTTAGGTTAAACTTTTTTAGACAGAAGTGTAAGATATTGATAATTTTGTTTCTAACAGGACAGTTTATTTCAAACAACCAGGTAATTCAATATTAATTAATGTATATTACATGCACATATACATATTTTATCAGATATTTAGAGGTCCATGTAACAAACTGCACCAGCCATTATTTGTACCTACAAATTGGAAATGCAAAAAAGGGAGACTAGTTTTTAACCCTTAGAGTCTGGAGGGTATTTTCCACCAGATTATATTAATTTTACAATAGAATTACCTCCACTCTAAGACAGAGGCAGAAGGGTATTTGCCATAGCAAGCCAGTGCCACTGGCTTTAATTCCCACTGGAAATATGTTTAAGTGTGAACATGGACACATTAGAAGGAATTGCAACTTCTTTGCCCAGGCTTTCAGATGACTGAAATGAGCTCATACTTAGCTGTCAAGATCACTGTCCATTCTCTGCCTTAAAACTGTGGGCTTCAGGGGATCATGATGTTTTTGCTCCTCGTATTTAGCAATGTTAAGGACCCTACTATAGAACCACATAACGTGCACCCAAGGATAGGTACAAGCCTTAAAAATCCATGTAATAGTGAAATGTAGGGAGCCTCATCTATCTGATGGTATGTAGTAACACTGTTTGCTTATTCAAGAATGGCCTTTTGGTGACTCAAAACAGTTCCCACGTAACCTTCAGCTTACATCTGAAAGGGGGGAAATCACTCAATCAAATGCTAACGTTACGGTAGTTAAAGTTAAAAATCTTTGCTGTACTGAGAATGTCAGAGAACATTATGTTGAACGAAAGATCCATTACAGGGATAATGGGGATCCTGAATCACTGCTATGCATACACAGAACACGGAGTTGTAAATATATGGTGTTTTAGTGGCGTGAATGGAATTCTGTCATTGATTCACTCGGTTATGTGATTCAAACATCTCTTATCCCATCTGATTAAGTGTCCACCATACTGTCACTATTTCCATGTCATCTAGCCAATCTCTCTTACAAAGGATAAATCACAGTGTTAGAGACAAGCTACATATAGTACTAGACAGTGAGCTGTGTGTAGGGGCAAATCAGAAAAACTGTAACCTCTAAAGCTATCTGTCCCCGCCTCTAAATATTCAGTACCTACTGTCTTCCCAGCTCTGGACTGCACTGTGTTACTTAATGCTCTAAGACCAAGAGTTTCAAATATGGTCCCTAAGGGCAGACTCCTAAATTTATACTTAGGTGCCTAAATAAACAGCCCAATTTTCAAAAATGCTGAGCACCCAGCAGCTCCCCTGAACTCAACCAAAGCTGCTCGGATGTTCAGCACTTTTGAAAAATCAGGCCACTAATTTAGCTGTCTAAATATGAATTTGAATTATGATGTTATAGAAGAATTCTGAAAATATAATGGATATGTTGCATAATCAATGAAAAACTAATGGAGATGACTGGAACTCAGCAAATACTGGGACCTTATGAAAAGAAAGATTCAATTTGCAGGATGCATTTTAAGGGATTCAGCAGGTGATGCTATGTTTGTGGGAGCAGGAAGGGAAAGTAGATGGCAGGAGAACATGAGGCAGGCAAAGAAGATCTTGGATGGATGATGTGGTACCCTGTGTGGATCAAAAGGACTGATCATCCACAAAGAGATTAGCAGAGGGCTGTAGAGAATGGGCTAACATGGTGGCAAACCTCCAGTAATGAAGATGCCACATAAGAATTAAAAAAGGAATTTGGAAGCCTAACTTTGGGCACACACTTTGAAACTTTTAGCCTCATGCCTCTCAGCTTTGAAACATACCAAGGTATGATACAAGTAACCAAGGTGTGACAAATAAGTGCAATGTGTTGTGTTGTGGGTTATGGATAATCGACAATGGAGAAAGTTGTGATTTATGTAACAAAAAAGAGGGCGAAGTGGTTTACACAAGTAAAGATGTGCTTTGCGCTGGTGGATCTGACCCCAGCTTCAAGAAGGGGGTGAATTCCACTGGTATGTATTATCATGAATTTCCATGTCTACACTTGGGGTTTGTACCAGTGCAGCTACATCAGTGCAAATTCTCAGTGTAGACAATACTTTAGGGTGGGTTTTGTGTTCCATGTGAACAGCTCACATGACCCTACAAATCCAAACTATTTTCTAGTAATTTATAGTGATTTTGTTGAGACACATAAGCTAGAAAGACAAGGCACTTTTCTGGGTAGAAAATCTGAGACAGGTTGCAGAAAGTCTGCCAGGACAAGAAGGCAAGCTGGAAGAGGCCTGGCTTGGGACCAGCAAAAAAAAACCTCTAGGTAGCACTGCATGAAAGAGGGTGAAAATAGGGCAGCTGAAGGCTGCTGGCTTTAATTTGTTCAAATTTTGTCACTATTAAAATGTTTTTTGTTTTGATTTCTTCACCCTGACATAGCTGTGAATCCTGAATAATGTTAAAACAACAAATCACAGAACAAGAACTGAATTACACAGGTGTCTTTGACCTTTACAACAATGGCTCCTATGTGCATGCCTGTGTGATCTTCCTGAACCATATTATAAATTAATCACTTGACTGAAAGAATCAAAGAAAGTATCTCTCTCATGTCAGTTCACCATGCTGTTAGATGGGAATTCTTTGTTAGGCCCAGTGGATAGGAAGAAAAGGGTTTCACACCCAGCCCTGGCAGCTAGCCCCTCTGCTTTGAATGGGTGGTGCCAACACCCCCAAATCTGAACTGACCAAGGCTTTAGTTTGGTCAGATCTGGGTCTTTGCTTGGGGCTTATCTCACATTTTCATTTTGATTTTTAAAAATCTTTCTGCTCATTAATTCTAAGCAGACAACAGTATCCACCTGGTACATATGATACCCTTCACAGATTCACGTACATCACCACCACGGCCAACAAAGAAAAATCACAGATCTAAGCACATGGAGAGACATTCCTGAAAAGGTGAAAGGACACCGATGTGTAGCACAACTCTGTGTTTTGTTGTCTTAATATTGTCAAGGATAGACACACACACACTCACAATCTCAACACATTGGCAGGTTTGACTGATCAGAACTATTCAAACCTCTAGAGTCTTCAGCAATATTTGACTGAAAGTCTCGTGAAAGCAGCTCTCTTATTGGACTAAATCCTTAATCCTTACAAAGTTTTTACTCAGGCTAATCTCCCAATAAAGTCAGCAGGAGCTTGGATCTCTGTATCTGACCCAGTGTATTGTGTCCTTTGTATCACAGTCCTAGCCAGAACAAGAAAGTGCCATGACGAATACAAATGAAAAATAAATAGTGAAGGATTTGTCAGGGGAACTTTTTTGAACCTCAAAGTCTGTTTCAAGGGTTGGAAAACGTTCTGGACAGTTTATATTTTATACAATCACATTTGTGTACCCCTTCTCAAGATGGCATGCAAACTAGTACCTATTAATTACACTTAGCATGTTCTAGGACGTCTCCTGGTATAACAGTTGGTGTGGTGACAGTGGGCTTGATTCTCCTGTCACTTACTCTATTTTTATACCATTGTAACTCCACTGATTTTCATTTGAGTAATTTCTGGTTCACCCTAGACTGCATGAGCGAAGAATGCAGCCCAGTGAATTTATTTTCCTGGTAATTAATTATTACCTCTTTTCAGTCCTTCTTCTTTCATTTGTTTCAAAGGCAATGGGCCAAACTCCTCCTCCACAGGCCGGAACATCCTTTTAACCAGGATGCTGCTACTAGAAAATAAGAACACAGCTATTTTGTCATAATACTGTCCTCCCAACAAGAGAGGAGACAACAGTGACAGTTTACATCTCACTTCATAATCAAGCAAAACTCCCACTAGCTTCTCAAGGAATGGTAGAGCAAGAATTGCAAGGATTTAGATCCTGATTCTTCTCTGAACTATCCAAGCCTCTTGAATTGCCCAGAATGACTATACTAGGTAAATGTTTCCCAATATTAAATACAAATTACAAAGGCCAACATCTGTTTAAACATATGAGGAAGGAGCATGAAAAAAGAAAGACCTAGCTGCTGATGTCACTATACAGTCACTCTCCCACCTTCCTCTATTTCAAGGATGCTCTGAAACACCCCTCCCCTTCCACCATGCCAGGGTATGTACCTCACTATCCCCTCATTTCCCTCTCCAGGGATTCTATGCACCATATCCCCCCTTACTCCCATGCCAGGTCTCTGTGTTCTCCTTCATTCCCCCCTTCCCCATACCAGCTTCTCCATTCTCCCCAGCTGGGATTCTGTATGCCCCCCATCTCCCCTCCCTCACCCTGCATTTTATTCCTTTTCTTGTGTTTGGGAGATAAATCATCAACATGTGAAACTCTGTTGGGAAGACAGGCAGAGATGAGACTGGGGTATTGTTATGCTGGAAGCTTTTAATGGCTGCCATCCACCAATTTTTTGATCTGTTGAATGTGTTATTGGAAGCACTATATCCAAACAGACAGACAGACAGAAAGAGAAATGCCATCAATTTGAATGTAGGATTTTGCTTCTCTTGGCCAATAATACCCTGTAATGTATATGGCTGAGCCTTGCTCAATAGTATTCCAAACTCCTGTTCTTTACACTTGTTTAAAAGGCAACACCATGCTCATTTGTAAAGAAAACAGAAAAGAAGGAGGAACGTGAAGTTAATGCAGAGAATTCATAACTTGTAAAATGGAAAGGGGTTGTGATTGCAGTCTGCAACCTTTAAACTTCTGACTGTGATCTCCCCATATTTAAACAGGCTCAAACAGTCAGTACCTGGTTGGGAGACCACCAGAGAAGCCAAAGGGGCTGCAGGAAGCGATTGTGGCGGTTCCGTAGGGGGCATTCTTCCTCTACGTTCACACTGAGCTAATGCCTCTGCATGCTGCTAGGGGGCACTATGATAGAGGAGCTACAATCTTCAGGGTAAGTCAAAATTGAGAGTGGGCCACTTGGTACCATGAAAAATTCCGTTTTGTTTGCAAGAGTAGGGGAGCTGGCCCCAACATGCGGACCTAACTAGATCCAGCTGACTTAAAACCCTTCTGCGTTTGTAGTGGACATGGATCCACTTCTTCCCCTACACAGCTGTGTCACATGTTGCTCTGCACTGTTAAGCAGCTTCTGTGTTCCACCCAAGAGCTTCCTGCTTTTCAATGGGGCTATAAGCAATTGCTACATGGAAAAATTTTAAAGTGGTTTGGGGTTCCTTAAGGTGTAAGGTACCTAATATAAATGTAAAGTTATTATTTTATGTTATGATCCAATACATTGTATTGACTGTGTGTTGACGCTTCCTGCTTAATGCACTATTTTATTATGGACTGTAAAAATAAACAGATATAAAAAGAAGCCAGCCCACGTGGAGGAAAACAGTAGTCAAAATAAAAAAAAACTTTGCCTTCTCAACTCCGCAAGTTATGAACAGAGAACAGGAAGGAAAAAAAGGTTCACGTTTATTTGACTCTGTGGTTATGTGCCTGATTCGCAAGGGTTTGGACTACTGGCTGCAAAACTTTATTGCAAAGCAATAAATATCTTACCCTTCTCTCTCATCATCTATGTTATAGCAAACCTGTAGGGGTGGAAAAGGAACAAGTTTATTGCTACAGCATGGATATCTGCTGTATGGAAGAGCTCAAAAAAGGAGAGGAGACACAGTATGAATTTTGCATCTGTTAATTCCTCCCCCCCCTTGTATAAAACAATTGTCTACGGTTTTAATTGTGACCTGAAGAAAATGTGGATTAGAACAACTACTATTGTGTAAGCCACAATGGAGGTACCTCAATGCATTTTGACAAGAATCTTCTCCAGTCTGGTTTACATCATTCTTTCAATCATTAGAAAAGTATAACAATCCTGAAAATCAGATTACTACTTGCCTAAATAACCCCAATGTGATTTACAACACAGCAATCACAAGCTTTATATATAAAATAGATGTCAAGGAAGCTAATTAAAATATAAAAACTGATAAAAAAATCAAAGGCACTAATGGATATGCAAATAGTATTAGTATATGTGGTACACATCTGTTTCTAGCATGATGCACCTATACACAGGGCCAGATATTCAGCTCCTGTAAATTAGCACAGCTTGAATTCAGTGGCACCATTTTAAACCAGCCAGGGTCCTGGACAGTCTGTAGCAGAGATACAAATCATGCTCAGTATTTTCATAGCATTCTCCATGTTTCAGGTGCTGTATAAAACACTAGATCAATCATAGTCCTCACAACCCCCCTGCAAAGCAGATAAGTAAGTAGATAGGTAAGAATGTTTACTGGTAGGTAAGAATGCTCGCTTTTTCTACTAACATTGAAAACTAGGAACTAAAGCACAGAACTAAAAACCGCTGTTCTAGTCTCGGTTCTGCCACAGACTTCCTGACTGAGCTTGGACACGTCTCCTATGGTCTGAATGTGCAAGGTGCTGATTGCACTCAACTCCGACTGAAACTTTCAGTGGGAGATGAGGGCACTTGCCATCTTGCAGGAGTGGATTTTTAACCCCCTGTGGCTGTACCATAGGGCAGATTATACTGACCCTACCTCAGAGAAGTGTGGGGAGGCTAAATCCATTAATATCTGTAAAGTAGTATAAGATCATCAGATGAAAGGTGTTATATAACTCCAAAATATTGTTCTAATAAAACATTTTGGAACCAAGAAATAGGAGGTTTTGTAAAATACAAAACACAAAAAATAGCTAAGGATAAAAACATTAGGATACCCAGAAAACCCTAGTATACAGCAGTATCAAATAGGGATAAATATTATCTATGAGCATGCAGTCAGAAAGAATATGATATATTCCATTTTAATTTGGAAAATTATTTACATTCCATGTAGTAAGGAATAATTCTATTTACATTTTGACGCAAATACACTTTCACATTTGAAAGTCACAAGAATAGGAGGTACCCAGTGCTGACATATAAGTGGGAGTCTTTCCATTCCTGGTGAATAATTTTAGTGGCAGCTGTGATCATGATGCCTAAGGTCTATGTGCGTTTCATAATCTCTTCTGCAATGCTGGCTGCTTTAAAAATTAATGATAAACTCATACTCAATGTCACTTTAGTCTTCGTTTCTTTTACATTTCTAGTGAGATGTGCACATACCTAGACACAGATTTGGCAGTCCCTATTACTAAGCTTTCACTCCATCCACTAAGCAGTACACAGTTAATATATTCATGTTTAGGAATATGCTATGTTTAGGAAAAAGGATGAGCTAGAATTCAGGTTTGCAGCTCTCCCAAGGAGCTAAAGGAGTGGCTCTAACATCTCAAGCCAGCAAAGACTCTGTGGTATTTAATTCACAGGTCTTTAAAGAAGGTAAATCATGCTTGTGAACAATAGAAGTAATGATTGTGAGCATTACCCTTGATCTCCAGAGTTTCATTATCTCTACCTATATGTGTGCAAGACTCTTCTAAGTAAATACAGATATGAAGGTGACAGGCATCATATATAATGACATTAGGGGAGCTTGTTCCTTGTGACTACTTTTAAAGACAGCAAAAACCTGACAGACTGACATGAAGTTAACGTTTGATCATATTGGTCATTGTTTTAAATCATCCTGGGAGTGGTTGTCTCTTCTACCACAAGGGGGCACATTATCTCTTAAAGTCTCTCACAATATGTGTTAACTACTTATGCTGAACAATCTGTTTCACCTTGGATTTAGCTGGGACACTTGAGTACCTTTCCTAGACCCGAAGAAGAGCTCTGTGTAAGCTCAAAAGCTTGTCTCTTTCACCAGAAGAAGTTGGTCCAATAAAAGATATTACCCACCTAGTCTCTCTAAAGTCAATCAGCACAGACAAGAAACAATTGTTTCTCTCAGTCCCATGCCAACTTCCTATTCTGAAGTTCCTATTCGCTCCCTTCAAAAAATCTAGAAATATTAAATTAACTCCTTCCTTCCCCTGTAGAACTATGAACAATGTTTCCCCTCTCTTCTGAGGTCTCCCTGGTGTACCTGTACCACAGGGCTACTCAAGAGCAACATTAAATTAAAATAAAAACAAAACCAAAAAACCCTGTCACCAAACCCCTGCTTTGAGTCTATGAAGTATGTCTTACAGCATATGTAGCTGGATAACTATCAGACACCTGTACTTCTCATTGCTGTTTCCTACCTGTCCTGTCCTTTGTAGGTTTCCAAAGTGAATATCTGGTATGAAGAGAACTGGCTGGGAATCCAGGTCAGTCATTGTTTTGAAGTAGGTGATGTCACTCTTTTTTTGCAGAGGGAGAGCAGACAATTTCCCTTCGGCTGCTAATAAGGATCACAAAGCAGTGTTATTATGATAAAAGGCATAATGAGCATGACTTAGAGCTATCTGGACTGGCCTTTCCTTACTCACAGTTATTGCATGAGGCTTGTGATGGTTGGCCTTTCCCTTTCTTCCTGTTCTGCTTCCTCTCTTCATCACGGATTTTCCTTTCTGCTCCCTGAGACCAAAAATACAGATATTACCCGACAGGGATCAGCTAATAAAACTACTGCACATGATGCACAGACACCGTGGTCATGGGTGCGTTAGAAAGACTTAAACAGAAAAAGAGAGAATCAAGTTAATGTGAAATAAACCCAGGCAAGTGAAAACTCAATACAATGGCCAACTCGGCATCATTTCACAGAGCCTAGACGCTTCATTCCATTATGCACTAAACTGAGAACCCTGCAGGACTGGCATTCCTTTAAACCTTGTCTACAGTGAGCTTTCCCTTAGTATCCCCTAGATTTGCATTAGTACAGCAGCTCTACTGCTGCTAGCTTTGTAAAGCGCTTTGAGAAGGACTGATGAAAAGTGCTATATAAGAGTTAGGTATTATTATTATTAGCAATGGTGGGGAAAGCGAATCTAGTCCCTATAGGAGTGTACAGGCCACAGCCTTCAAGCACATAAACAGATATGATTAGACTTTTAAAGACATGGAGAAGTACACACAGACTTTGAAGATGCATAGTGTTGACCTAATAGGTCCTAACAGCTCCTTTGCAGTCAATGGGCTGTTATATAAATACATTCCTAAGGAGTTTATAAAATAAGCCTTGTTATTGACATAACAAGCAGCAAAATCTCCTTTGAAGCTATTCAGATTGATTGTATAAATAGAAGTACAGACAGATTGTTAAGCAAAGTAAAAATCCATATGCTCTAAGACAGTTGTCATTCGATATTAAATACCCCAGTTTTTTCACCGTAAAAATAGAAGTTTCTCTTTTTTATTTTAATCAAAGTGGGAGATGTTCACTTGGAGCCAGTAAAATTCACATGTACTTATTCAGAATTAAATGCATCAACCTACAAAAGAAAGTAAGAGAGAATGAAATGATTCTGGAGGCTGAGAAACATAAAATCATAGAAGATTAGGGTTGGAAGAGACCTCAGGAGGTCATCTAGTCCAACCCCCTGCTCAAAGCAGGACCAAACCCAACTAAATCATCCCAGCCAGGGCTTTGTCAAGCCAGGCCTTAAAAATTTCTAAGGATGGAGATTCCACCACCACTCTAGGTAACCCATTCCAGTGCGTCACCATCCTCCTAGTGAAATATTTTTTCCTAATATCCAACCTAGACCTTCCCCACTGCAATTTGAGACCATTGCATCTTGTTCTGTCATCTGCCACCACTGAGAACAGCCAAGCTCCATCCTCTTTGGAACCCCTCTTCAGGTAGTTGAAGGCTGCTATCAAATCCCCCCTCAATCTTCTCTTCTGCAGACTAAATAAGCCCAGTTTCCTCAGCCTCTCCTCATAAATCATGTGCCCCAGCCCCCTAATCATTTTTGTTGGCGTCCACTGGACTCTCTCCAATTTGTCCACATCTTTTCTGTAGTGGGGGCCTCAAAACTGGATGCAATACTCCACATGTGGCCTCACCAGGGCAGAATAGAGGGGAATGATCACTTCCCTCAGTCTGCTGGCAATGCTCCTACTAATGCAGCCCAATATGCCATTAACCTTCTTAGAACCCTGGACATGATCCATGAATGGCACTTCTGATGACTGCAATGGGACCAAGAGCCAACCCAGAAAGTGAAAATGGAAAATGTTCATTTTTGAGAAGAAAAAAAATCAAGCTATTTATCCCTGAAAATTAACATTTATCATGGAACCTCTGACCCAGATTTAAGTCCTGATCCAGCTCCAATTGACAACAACAAAGCTCTCCTTGACTTGGACGGAGCTACCCATTACCTTTACAAACATGCCAATAGGTGATATTGTATTAAAAAGACTTCTGTCTCTTTAATGAGAAAGGGGCGTGTACTTTGTGCATCAATGCAGTTTTTCTCATTAAAGGAGAAAAAGGGTATTTTTCTGTGAGTGTCGTCTCTGCTACTGCTATCAAGTGCCATACATAAGCCCCATGCTCTGAGCTAGTTCAAAGCAATTCCAATGGATTCAATAAGAGTTCCTCTGTGTTTACAGTTGTAACTAAGAGCAGAGGAGAAGTTGGCATTTAGCTTACTTGCTCTGGAAGGTAATTGATTCAATATTGCAACCTCTTTTTATGCTGTCATTAACAGCACAAAGCTGCACAAGTACAACGGGTGCATTAACGAACTGAAATACAGTCTCCATGCTGCTGCTGAAAAGCTTCATAGCTCTTACCATGTCTGTCTGTTGACCCGCTTTCTTTAACAGCAGCACTTTCCTTTAAAAATTGGCCATGTAAGCACACTGAAAATAAGTGGTAGCAGAGAGCACAGCAATTCGCCTATATAGACTCAAAATGGCCCCTATGTTTTCCACTCAGTTGACTGTTGAAATAGATTTTTCCATACTCACTGCAAGTGGAAGACCTATGGAGGAGCCATAGAGTGCTCACTGGCACTCAAATGACTCCTTCCTCACAGTTCCACTGGTACTATTAGTGAATGGACAAATGGTTAAACAAAGATGGGAAAATGTTCAAAATATAAAGTAGGGGGCTAAAACAGCTGTATAGCTCAGTTCCACCGTAATGTTACAATCCAACTGAAAATGGCACAGCAGATTCTGATCTCAGATATAACAGGTATAAATCCAGAGTAATCAGTGATTTCATTGGAATCTGGCCATGCACCTTCAAATACTGTCCTTACAACATCAGCAGGCTAAAACTCAACACTGGCTCTTTTAATTCAGCATGTAAACATTTTCTCAATATACTTTGTCCACTTGTCAAATTTGAACCAATTATTTGTAAAAGAGGTGGTTTTCCCCCCATTGTCCTAATTGATATTTCTCACACTACAAGCAACATACATTGTAGTGCTTTCCTTTAATATTTTCTGAAAGGTCGGAGCCTGGGAAGGCTTTGCCTTTTAAGCCAAATGTTACTGTTGTCAAGATAAGACATCCAAACTTTCAAGGACGGAGACAGTTTCCGAAAAGGCCTCTCTTCTATATAGCTTGCATTGATTTGGTGCCATTCATCTAGATGGCGCCAAATGTGCTTTACAAATACATTGACTTCATTAGAAGTTCAGGGCACTCAACACTTCGCAGTAAGGTTTGAGCCAACATTCACAAAAAGAAATTGAAAGATTCCCATTGACTTCAGTGAGCATTGGATAGGGCCTAGGAACTTAGCACCTTGCAGGATTGAGCCAACAAGAGTAACTTTGCCTACCACTGAAATGAACCAGCTATTTAACAGCACATCATTGGTTTGCATTCTCCATTGCTTTGCACCTTGCATGGTCACTTACATGCATGCAAAATGAATGTAAAAACTAACTACTATTCTGATTTGTTAGCATTCTGCACTCGCTTAGCAGAAGTGGTATTGATGAGACAAAGTGCAAAGCAGTAGTGAATCAGACCTGTTCCGCTTGTCTTTGCTTTAGATGCTGAGACAATGAGCCAGGCTGGAGTTTTAGCAGAGCATACAGTTCCTGATGGTGGATTTCTGTGGCTGAATCTTCTAATATTATATGTGATAAACCAGAGCTTTAATATTAACTGAATGCTTCCCTGTAGTGGAAACAGTCCTCAGCACAGAAATGTTGGGCTAAAAACCAGGCTATAGCCAGACAAATCATATAAATGAATGTGCATCCCTTACTAGATTTATTTTCTCCCTCTACTGCTAGCTGGATGAACAGTCATAATTCCAAAAAGCAACAACATAGGCTGGATTATTTCCATCATGGCTCCCTCCCTTCTTTGGAGACATGGTCCTGAAGCATAACGTCTGTTCCAAAACTCCTCCATTTGGCGGAAGTTTGGATCCATATGTGATTTTGGAGCTTTTGGCCCATATACCTTTATTTCTTAGTAACATTAATGCTGTTGGCCTTTTTCTCTGAATGGATTCACCCAGACAAGCACAGTAACATAGTTTTGTATGACAGCAACATGCTCATTACTTCTTCTGTTATTTATTGATAGCAGATTTGTGGCTACCAAATTTGTGGCTTGAAAAATGTGTCATGGATCGTGAAATCTGGTCTCCTGCCATGAAATCTGGCTTTTACCCTATACTATACAGATTTCATGCGAGAGACCAGCGTTTCTCAAACTGGAGGGCCCCAACCCGAAGGGGAATGGTTGGTTATTTTAGGGGGTTGCGGTATTGCCACCCTTCCTTCTGCGCTGCCTTCAGAGCTGGGCGTCCAGAGAGTGGTGGCTGTTTGCCAAGCGCTCAGCTGTGAAGGAAGCACCCCACCAGCAGCAGCGCAGAAGTGAGGGTGGCAAGACCATCCCAGGCCACCCTGACTTCTGTGCGGCTGCTGGCAGCGGCTCTGCCTTCAGAGCTGGGCTCCCGGCCAGCAGCCGCCGCCCTCCAGCTGCCCAGCTCTGGCGGCAGCACCGCCGCCAGCAGCAGCGCAGATGTAAGTGCCGCAGGACTGAAATACCCCCTACAATAACCTTGCAAACCCCCCACCCACCCACACAACTCCTTTTTGGGTCAGGACCCCGACAATTACAGCACCGTGAAATTTCAGATTTAAATAGCTGAACTCATGAAATTTATTATTTTAAAAATCCTCTGACTGTAAAATTTAACAAAATGGACCGTGGCTTTGGTAGGCCCCTAGTTATTAATAATACAGGCAAATCCCTGTATGTGAATTTCAGATTATCTGAAATGTATGTCTGTCCCCCAAAATCTGAAATTCATAAAAGGTTCTATTCTGCAAGGTGCTGAGCACTCTGCCCCAATCCAGCAAAGTAATTAAAATTGTAACCTACTGGGCAATACTCCCATGTTCAAAGTTAAGCATGTGGCTAAGTGCTTTGCTGGACCAGGGCCAGAATGTTCAGTGCATTGCAGGATCAAGCCCACAGAAACCACATTTCCTCTACTTAGCACTGAAGGTTGATGTACTGTAATAATGTACAAAGGGAAATCCATTTCCACCCATAGCGCTGGTGTCAAAGTAGAGAGCAGGGGAAGAATAGGAACAGCAATCAGTGTAAGGAATATGGGGTTAGGCCTCTTGACTTTGGAAGAA